TTCTTACTTAATTAGGTTATACACCTAAGAGTTTGCTCTAGTTGTATCAGGGATACATATCAAGAAATACTGAATTGTATCAGGGATACATATCAAGGTACACAGAGTTGTATCAGGGATACAGATTAAGGATTACAGAGAGTTGTATCAGGAATACACAGAGTTGTATCAGGGATACAGATTAAGGATTACAGAGAGTTGTATCAGGAATACATATTGAGATTACAAAAGGAAATACCTGTATTGGTTATAGATTTAAGAGATCTTGGAGTAAGGCAATGTAAGGTCCTACGCAAAATTTTGGCCCGATCGGTTCAGCTGTTTTGACGTTTCTTGGACACAAACGGACAGACAGACAAGCAAAGTATATTTGTATATGTAGATAAAGATATAGATAGATATAGATAGATAGATATAGATAGATAGATAGATAGATAGATAGATAGATGAAAAGATAAAAAGATATCAAGATTTTTACAATGGATGATTTAACCTAATACAGATTTGCAAAAATTATTACTCTACAATCCAATACATTCCAAACTACGTTAGGGTGTGTGTATGTATGTGAGTGTGTGTGTGTGTGTGTGAGAGAGAGAGAGAGATACTCAAGTGTGTGTATAGTGAATGAAAGGAGTGTGTGTTTAATTTTCCAATAGACGTGAAAACACATCAGCTGATCATGGGGTAAACCTAATTATGCAGATTTAAAAACACACTTGATCCAACCCCTCATACACCTTGGTAGATAGATAGATAGATAGATAGATAGAAAGATAGATAGATAGATCATGAATACATTTCTATTTTATTATATTGTCATAGTATTATTAATATCATCGTAATCATTAATTTTTAAAAATTATTATAAAGGGACATGGCCAACTCACAACGATAATGTGATAGATATAGTCGTTTGTGTAGATCAAAAGGTGTTTAATTCTGACCATTTGCTCCATTGTTTCAAATGCATAAACTCCGCAAATCAGTTTTCAGAGAAACAACGGTTATCTGGAGATGTTAAAACAGATTTCCAAATCTCATTGGTACTGCAGTAGACTCACATTGAACAATAAGTAAATAGTTTGGAGACAGTTTTTATATTTATAGTTCTGGTTTTCATCACTTTTATTAATCTATCTATATATCTATCTATATGTCTATCTTTCTATCGATCTATTTATCCAGCAATCTATCTACTTTTTCATCTTTATATCCATCTATCTATCTATATATATTTCTGTCTTTCATCTAACATTTGACAGAGAGTTTTTGTACATTCGGTCACTCAGAAACACCTTTGATCGGTATGATAACGCTTGTTGTAACCCTAAATTAAAAAATTAATTAAGATATAAGATAAGATATAGTTTATTGCTAAAAATACACATACAAGTTATAATAAAAAATCTGCAACTATTTTTATATTGTTTACTATATATATATATGTAATTATAGCAATTAGGTGGAGATAAACTATTTGCTGTTTTGGGTATTAAATCTTTTACAAAATGATAAATATTACTAGATTCTGAAAGTTTACAATAAGTCAGGGATTACTAGTTAAATTTAGAGAGACCGAGGTGCAGCATAACAAAATAATTGATTTTTCAGTTTTAAGTTTAGTAAGTATAACAGAATAAGATTAAGCATTAAAAATCTACAGAGTTCTATAATCATTTTTTGCACTTTTGTAATTTATATTATATAATGGATGAGTCCTGAGCAGTCCCTCTACAGCTGTTTAGAAAGGAATTTGTGTTGAAAACCTAAAAGAAGAATCAACTTTGAAGGTCCCAAACTCCTGGGCATTTGGTTTTATCTTAATAGCTCGGTTATACTTTCTTTTAGCCAGAGACAGTAAACAATAAGCAATTTAGAAATTTAGTTTAATGGGATTTTAAACGTAATTTCAAGTGACCCTTCATGCAAAGATGACAATGCCCGATTTACAACGGTACCCTTAAACCCTTAATGTGGAAGAAACAGTCGTTTTTCGCAAAGAACCCGCAAATGAAAGTAATCAGGTTAAAGAAACAAAAAAATTGATATCTAACTCATACTTGATTAGAAAAAGCGTTCAAGGATATCGTTGTAAATCCCTTTGTGTCCCTGTTAAACAGAGTAGCTGGCAAAATGTTGAAAGACCTTTCAATGAGAGGTTCTCTTGCTTCTTCAATATCATTCAATATTCTTTCTTCTATAAGAGAACAGAGATAATGAAGAGAACAAAGATAATGAAGAGAACCAGATAATGAAGAGAACAAAGATAATGAAGAGAACAGAGATAATGAAGAGAACAAAGATAATGAAGAGAACAAAGATAATGAAGAGAACAAGATAATGAAGAGAACAAAGATAATAAAGAGAACAAAGATAATGAAGAGAACAAAGATAATGAAGAGAACAAAGATAATGAAGAGAACAAAGATAATGAAGAGTACAAAGATAATAAAGAGAACAAAGATAATGAAGAGAACAAAGATAATGAAGAGAACAAAGATAATAAAGAGAACAAAGATAATGAAGAGAACAAAGATAATGAAGAGNATCAGCTCCTTCAGCTAGCACCTTGTACATAGAGTACTGTACAGTGTTCTGTACAATAATCATGTACATCATGCAGTCTGTGTACGTTTAATGAACTGCTAGCGAAAAAGTGATTTTGAAACAAAGCAAAATATTTAAACCATGTGGCACTGGTTCCTTCAAACCAATCTAAATACCAATGACCTATGTTGCTTCCTGCAAGTATAGTTCATGGTATAAAAGATATGGTTTTGATGCATTGGGGCCCTGCATTCATTAACCAACCTTTAAAAAGTAAACTTTTACTTATGCCTTGTATAGTTTCTGCTTTAAGCATTAACTTCGTTTTATATATATATCTGTATGTCCTAACAACTTTTGCTTTAAGCATTAATTCCTTCAAGCTATTTAATAGCTATTGCTTACTTTATGTATGCACTACATTGGCATTGCTGTTGCAACCTTCAACCTTTGCTTTAAGCATTAGCTTCTCTATTCTTTACCAACAGTTCTACCTAGCTATATAATAAGTTATATACTGTGTACTTGCAAAACTGTTAATAAATATTTTTGAACCACTATAGTTTTCAACTTTCCAGATAGTAGTTATACAGGAGTAGTTCTGTTCTAACTAGTAACCAGGGGCGGATACAAGGGGGGGCGGGGGACATTCGCATGTTATTGTTAACGATAAATTTAGAATTAGAATTTTGTAAGAAACTAGACTTAAGTTATAATATTGTTCATATCTAGTAATGTTCCTTAATCAATACTCATTTATCAAAATTGTAATATTGTTCCTAATTTTCATGCATTTAAGTATAACTAGTAATTTCTTTTTGTTCTTAAATTGCTAATGTTCCTATCATTGTTCCTGTTCCTGTGTCCGACCCACCATAAATCCCTGTCTTAATCCTATATTTTTGTTCCTAACTCCTGAACAATCTGTTTATTGTTCCTAAATCCCTGTCCTAATCCTTTATTTTTGTTCCTAATTCCTGAACAATCTTTTAATTGTTCCTAAATTCCTGTTCTAGTCTTTTAATTTTGTTCCTAAAATTTAAAAATCTAGTTTTTTAGTCTTTAGTCATTAATTTTGACTCTTTTTGAGTCTTTTAATTCAAAAAAAAATTTTTGTTCCTAATTATTCAATTTTTTGTTTCTAAAAAATCTTGCCACCCCTCACTTAAATCCTGTATCCGCCCCTGCTAGTAACTATCACATGGTAGTTATACAGGAGTAGTTCTGTTCTAACACTAGTAACTATCACATGGTAGCTATACAGGAGTAGTTCTGTTCTAACACTAGTAACTATCACATGGTAGTTATCGGGAGTAGTTCTGTTCTAACACTAGTAACTATCACATGGTAGTTATACAGGAGTAGTTATGTTCTAACACTATAGTAACTATCACATGGTAGTTATACAGGAGTAGTTATACTAGTAGTAAGGTATTAGGACCACGTCTTCTACATAATAAATATGATAATTCCATTTACTACTGCACTATCCTCTAAACTGGGTCTGCTACACTATCCTCTAAACTGGGCCTACTGCACTATCCTTTAAACTGGGTCTGATACACTATCCTTTAAACTGGGTCTGCTACACTATCCTTTAAATTGGGTTTTTAGATTCCATGTCTAAAACAAGCTAGTTTATAAAAAGAATTTAAGAATTTTTGAAAATAAATTCATATCATGTTTAGCTGAATAAATATACAATTTTAATTACCGTCGACCCTTAAGAGGGATGATGTGCATTGCCACTTTGAACATCATAAAATGACTTCCGAGCCGCAGAATATTCTAAAATACCTCCGAGTCCTGTATTCCTTGTGAGGGGCAAAAATCCTCAATATTCTCCATATTGTGCTGAATCTCAATATAAATATAATAAAGATAATATATATAATAATGATTACACAATATTGATTAGTAGTAGTCTATGAACCATCCTTTGGGACCATCTATCCAGAGAAACATCATATATTATCTATCTATCTATCTACTCATTCATCTCTATCTATCTATCCATCTATTTATCAATCTCTCTAGCTGTATAGTAGCAGGAAACCTGAGAGTGCCGCTGAAAACACAATCTGCCGCCACCTGCTCCGGATATGGATCTCCCAGAGATTTTGGCGCCGGAAGTTTGAGATTTCCCGCCATATCCTCCAGATTCCCGCCATATTTGAATGCCGCGTGTTTGCGCATCCAATACTCCGGGATCAGTGGTTGCCGCAATTGCACTTGAGGGTGAGACACTGATTCCCCCCGGGCCGGGTCGACCGTTCTGATTCTCCGACCTGGACCGCCCTATCTCTGCCCAGGCCAGGGCTGCGCCGAGATTGTCGGAGGTTTCATGAGATTGCTCCGTCTTTATCGGAGAGTATTGAGACAAGATTTTTGAGCTGGGAAACCATCTCTTCATGTATACTCTGGTTTAGAACCAGTCTGTTCCATCAGCTCCTTCAGCTAGCACCTTGTACATAGAGTACTGTACAGTGTTCTGTACAATAATCATGTACATCATGCAGTCTGTGTACGTTTAATGAACTGCTAGCGAAAAAGTGATTTTGAAACAAAGCAAAATATTTTAGATTAAATTGAAAAAAAGTATCAAAAATAAACTTTAAAATTAGTGAGTAAGAAATCAAATTGTTTTTTTTGTGCTAATATCGCCAAAAATGTCGCAATCAGCCTTCAGTTTGGTTACCCCAAAGGATAAAGGAAGTAAGAAATTCATATTAAAAAAATTTAAAGCTTAAATAAAACTTACATTTTTAGGTGAATGTTTGATAGGTGAAAATCACCAAGTTGAGCCCTCACCACCTCTTAATAAAGTTTTTTATCCTTTGTACAGCGGCCCACCTAGTACTCCAACCAGCTCATGTACTTCTGTGAGTTCATGTACTCCTGCTAGTTCATGTACTCCTGCTAGTTCATGTACTCCTGCGTACTGGTACTCCTCCCTACTCACCTCCTTGTACCGTCCCTCCCCCCTACCCTGGCCACCAACTGTACTTAGTCAGGGACAATTCTTAGCTGTGCATATTACGATATTTTTGGTGAATTTCTTGTCTTACTTCAGAATATTCTAGAGTTATCAACTATTTATAAATTTTTTTGGGATATTTTCTTTTTGCTAAATATATTAGTTAGATTTAGCCAGACTTTTTAAAGAAATAACCTCAAAAAAAGTGAAAAATTTTGTTCAAAATTTTCTGTAAGATGTACAAATTGCATTTTTAAATACCTTAGCTGACCGGATTGGAAAGAGTATCGTTGAACAAAACTTTCGAGTTTACTCTTAGGGGTCTTCCACATACATTTATGTAGATTTATATCAATAAAGAAAAATAAAAATAAAATAAAAAACTAACAAGATCAAATAATATGTCGTGATAAAGATACCCAAATTAAATAATAATAACTTTTTCATTTTTATTTAAAAAAAGTGTACTGCCAAATAGCAGCCATGAATTGAAGTGTACAGCAGGAAAACAACAACAATAACAACAACATAAAGATGGGAGGGCAAACAGATATAGGTAAACAAATCATGCTTTTTGTAAAAAAAAATTTAAAGTTTTTTTCTTATTTTAAATAGATTTTGATGTAAGATTTTTAATGCCAATACAAACTTTTCTATGTAACTTTCAAAACTATTTTAATTAATATAATTTTTTTGTAACTGTATGCTTAAGAGACCTCGATTTTTTCATTTTTGTTTACTTTTTGAATTTGGAATTTGAATTAGATGCTGGAATTAAACTTGCATTGAAATTATTTTCGACGAAATTATTCTTCTGGTAATATAAGAAAGATTCTGCAATTGATAGATAGATAGATAAAGTTTATTGCTAAATTACATGTATCTGTGTACAGAACGAGTTTACAATTACAAATTGATGATTATATTTACAGTACAAGTATAGAGCAATTAGGTGGAAAATAGCTAATTTAAATAATGACAACAACACATTTTAATTAAATAGATTTAAGGAGAACTATTAGAGATCAGGGTGCGAAAGTAGTTTTTACATTTGACAGAATAACTAGAGTTTAAAGTAATTTTCTGACATGTACATAAGAAATATCAAACATATTAAAATAGCAAAAAGCTACTGCTTAAAACGATTGATATATCTTCCTTGAAACAAAATTGATTCACTGATGTCACGTGATTCTCCCAGGCTACTTTTGTTGCTTAAAACGTGCTGGGTCAACTCTACACTAAGTAGCCTAACCGGACAGTACGACTGAATGCATATACAGTACGACTGAATGCATATACAGTACGTGTTGTACCGGCACGTACCATGCAAACTTTAGACTGGTTTGATCTGTAAGTAGGGTTGTTAATCATTTTTGAAAACGATCGTTTTTTTCGTTTTCCGATCGTTTTCAAAAATGATAGTTTCGTTTTCAGGAAAACACGATCGTTTTTAAAACGACCCACTTGTTTTGAACTTTTAGAAAACGAATAACGATCGTTTTTGAAAACAATCATTTTTATAAAAACGATCATCAATCGTTTTTTTAACGATTGTTTAAGAAAACTATCGTTTTTGAATAAACGATCGTTTTTGAAATTTTTTTTCATTGATAAATATGTTAACGATCGTTAACGAAACGACGAACTTTATCAAAACTCTCGTTTTAGAAAACAATCGTTTCGTTTTCGTTTTATTTTGTCGTCGTTTTCATAACGAAACGATCGTTTTTCAAAAAAAAATTAAAACTTTTACATCCCTATACGTAAAATATGTCAGTTAATTTTCATTTTCGATTCACATCGGTACCCTAAAAAGTTTTGTCTGATTAAATCTGACGGAGAAATCCATTTTATTTCTTTAAAAAATAATTATTTACAATTGTATTTTCTCTATAAAAGTAACATGCGCATTTTTGCCGCTAAAACAATTAACATTCTATAAATATTTAAAATTTTCATCTAACAAGATTTTTTGGAGCACCGGCATCAAATACACCTGAGCAGAACCATTAGTCAAATTTTGTTGAATGACTCTGCTCAGGTGAATTTGATGAAAATTTGAAATTTCCTAGAGTGAAGGAAATTATCTTTTTAGCAATTATCTTCTCAATATTGATCAAGGGTTAAAGAGCGTGGTAAAATATGGAGAGTCATTTGAAATTTCAAAGACAATCTCTTTAAACCCATTTATTTTGTTAAGAATGTCAACTCATCCTCGATAGACTTTATGTTGGGTGTTAAAGTTTTCCATACTTCCAGCCATACTTCCGACCATGCTTCCGGTCAAACTTCCACCCATACTTCCGGTCATGCTTCCATTCATTCTTCCGGTCATACTTCCGGCCATACTTCCGGTCATGCTTCCGGCCATACTTCCGGCAATACTTCCGGCTATTCATACTTCTGGCCATTTTCTGTTTGTTTGTTCGATCGGGTTTTTTTAGGATTTTTTCTGGGAACCTCACACGGTGGCAGTCGCCAGGACTAAAAGGTTTTTTTGTGATTCTTAAAAAAAATAGACAATTCTTATAGTTTGATATTGTTTAGGAGTAAATTCATGCTGGTAGACTGGTAGACTTTTAAATATTCCAATAAACATGAAACACAGCAAATATGAATGCAGTGTGCAATGTAAAATTGTGGCAAAGACTCAGTTTCTCACTCCTGTATGCAGAGTCCATTAGCTCCTGATCCAATCAGGGTTCAGTCATGTGTTTGTTGTCTATTCTGAACCAATAGAAATAGTAACATAGACGGTAACATCTATCTTTCTATCTATCTCATTATCCAATCAGAGTTATGAATCCTACAATCGACGCTTTCAGTAAATGAAAATATTTACTTCTGCTGAAACTATAGTGCGTTGTCCATCTATCAAGGGAGAGAGGATCATGTGAAGTTACGTCTACAGTCCCTTTAAATATCGTCTTCCTATTCCACATGTTTATGGTCGGGTTCCCTTGAATAAACTCATGAAAGACGTTTTAAAGTTCCCAATAAGCGTATTCTAAATAAATCTAAAAATGAAAATGATCCTATTAACTCATTGCAAAATATGCTTTTTCGTTTTTTAAGGAAACTGCGCATATTTTTTTGAACAACAAATTATTTTAAATTTTAATCTTTAACTTCAATTGAAAAATTTCCAACAAATGGGCTTTATAAGAAAAACTTATGAAATTTTGATTTAAAAAGGAATTTGCTGATGCAAACATTTCTGAGTGGATGTAATGTGTTAACTTTTTCTCCATATTCTTATGTATTTTCTTTATTTGGAAAAGCTTTAGAATTCTTTCACAGTTTCTAGAAACTAAAACAATTAAATCTAATTAAATTTTTTCTTATTTTTGAACTAGATTTTTAGCTAATTAACCGATCCAACTTTTTACTCATTTAATACACATTAAAACATATATCTATTTTAACATTTTTAACATTTATTTTAAATTTAATTCTTTTTTTACACAATTTTAAAAAGAGATTTTGTATCTTCTATTTTTCAAACATATATCTATAAAAAAGAATTTGCACCCCCTTAAGAAAAACATAAGTAAACATTGAAAATTTTAAGAATTTGCAAGAAACAAGAGTGAATTTTACATTGTGTGTGCAAAAAAATTGGACCCAAAAATTCAACACATAATTTGGCTAAAGATATATATATGACACTCACCCCTGACCCTTCAGTTAAAGTAAATTCAGCCTAAAGTCTGACCGCGTCAACCTTGTTGCACCGGCTAGTCATATTGAGTGTCTGTTTTATTTACCGGGCGATACAGTACAAACTGGAACCGGAAAGGTTGACCCGACTCGGAAATTTAAATGTACTACGACTGCCCGTGGTTTAATTTGCTTAGAAACAAATAAGGCCAACGAACAAAATGAAATCACGAAAAAGTCCGAAATAACGAAAACTACTGTATCCTCTGAACAAATGGATAGATATTAGATAGATGAATAGATAGATAGATAGATTGGTATGTAAGATATATAATATATATATTGCTATAGACTGATGAATAGATACAAAGATAAATAAACAGATAGATAGATAACTTTATCTCTCTGAATTTTCTCTCTTTCTCAATGTGTTTTCTCTCGGATCTTTGCCAAGATTTAAACATTTCGCAGATTTTTGCGGAGAAAGTTTGCGCATCTGCTTTCCCGGCATTTCATTGGTCAGATTTCCCACCAATGGGAAGCTGAGATTAGAAATCTGGGGTTTGATCTGAGCTGCGTAGAATCTGTAACCTCGGTGGGTCCAGGCTACAGGGAAATCCGCCATTCTTGAACAGCTGTGATTGGTGGACTCCAGATTCATAGGGTATCCGTAGAGTTTAGGAAAGGGCAGGGGGGGGTTCGGAGAGGGGGTCGGAAGGTGAGGGGACCTGGCGGCACTTTTAGGTTTAAGATATGATTCTCTTAGCTCTATATATTGAGATAGTATTTAAAATTTAATAACAATATCGGAATTGAGTGCTGCTCTATCTCTGTATTTAGACATTATTTGATAAAAACTATGCATTTGGTATTTTCATAAAACTTACTTTACAGAGGAAGTTGATGTCTAGGGGAGGCTTAATTTTGTTTTGCTTTCCGGGGAGGGGCGGGGGGGGGGGGGTTCAGAACCCCCTGGGGCCTTGGAAACCACAGAAAACATAGAAAAATCAAGATTGTAAAAAATTCTGGCCAAGTTTATAAAAATTTACTTTTAAAAAATTGTGCGTTTAAAGTTTCTTTGATTTTAATTCAAACGTGTTTTGGTATAATTCAACAATCTTTTAATTTACGGATTTATTTAAAACATATATGCCCACAAAAAAGTATTTATAAAAAAGGCTAAAAAGTTATGTTTACTAGGTCAAATTGAGATTGAAAGTCACAGTTTTCTGAATTATTGGGAGACTAGTAAGATCCACGTGCAATTCGAAAAAATCGTATTCTCATCAACGTTTTAATTTGCATGAGTTGTCTTTATACACTTTTTCATTTCATCCGCCAGCAAAAAAGTAAAAAAAAAATTTTTAAAAAAATGATGTTTAATTGGTCAAATTGGGATCAAATCACAGTTTGCTGGGAGAAACTCCCGTTTAATTATAGGGATTACACTATTTCTTTATTTGGTCTGCACAAACTGTTGTATCTCATTAGATATTGAAGTTCATTAAACGAAACTTTAATGTTTTAGACCTGATGAACAAGTTTTAAAATTAAAAACTAAATGTCCACAGAGGCATAAAATTAATTTTTTTTATCTTTGGCGGAGTTTTTTTTTCAGAAAAATATTAAGTTAAGTTATTCATTGCAATCGTTATTTATGATGATTTAGTATAGGACTGTTCATAAAAATTAGGTGTATTGTTATTTTTCAATCCCTTTACGCGATTTATAAATTATCTGTCTTAGTTTTTGTTGGGTTTTTTATTTGTTTTTTAAAGCTCAGTGATAGTTCACCAATGAGCCAAAAGGTGCACTCAACACTATAGTTTTAGTAGCGCTGATTGAAGGATTCGTATCTCTAATTGGATAATGAGATAGATAGAAAGATAGATGTTACCGTCTTTGTTACTATTTCTATTGGTTCAGAATAGACAACAAACACATGACTGAACCCTGATTGGACTTGGTATACAGAAGTGTCAAGAACCAAAAATCTTTTAAATTTGAGAAGTTTATGTTTAATTAAAACTACGCTTAATCAAAATTAATTGTAATTTAAAGTGACCCCCAATTAAAAACTGCCCGATTTAAACGGTAACATTGAAACCTTTGTCTGATTAAGTATTAATTAGAGACATGTATTTTTTTCCTTTTTGAGTTCTCTCTCTATAAAATTGACTTGCGCATTTATTAATTCTAGGAATTAACACTTTTGAGTTAAAAAAAAACACAACAATTTTATTATTATATTATATCATGGTTTTATTATTATTATATTATGGTTTGCATGGTACCGTTGTAAATCGTGATCTATCTATCTATCTATCTATCTATCTATCTATCTATCTATCTATCTATCTATCTATCTATCTATCCGTATATTATGGTGCTAAATGTTCTTACAGAAGTTTCTTCCTAAAAGCCCTCTGGGGAGGTTAGGGGAGGGGGGACAAAACTGTTTTTTAATGACTACCCTTTATAGAGGGAGGGAGGGGACCCTTTAGATTATGTAGATGCAGTATTTTAAAATACTCCAGTAGCGTTTTATCTGTGTTGCGTTTTATGAGTGTAGCGTTTTCTAACTTATATTTTAAAAATTAAAAATTAAATTAAATTCAAAAATTGAAAATCTTCCACATTAACGATCAGATAACGGATTTAATTAAAGGAGCCGTTTATAGTTGGGCATGTCCCTTTCTTAGTGGAAATTAAAACGACAGTCTTGTTTAAAGGGATAATCGTCAAATTTTTTATTTTAACAGTGAATCACAGGATGTTCCAGAAAAAAGGTTGATCGGGGTATTCAAGAATCATAAATTGCCTTATAGAAAGTTAATGCTATTGAAAATTGACATAATCTTAAATGCTTTAAAGAGAAGGAGGAAGGGGGGGGGTGTTAATTTGTGAAAGGCTAAAGTGCTAAAAAAGGAACGAAATATATAGGAGAGGGGTTCCCTGGCTTTATAGAAGATAGTTTCCCTAGCTATATAGAAGATAGTTTCCCTAGCTATATAGAAGATAGGTTCCCTAGCTATATAGAAGATAGGTTCCCTAGCTATATAGAAGAGGGGTTCCCTAGCTATATAGAAGAAAGGTTCCCTAGCTAAATAGAAGATATATAAATTGTATGATTACAAATTTCGTTGTTGTTAACAAAACGGTTTAACAAAACGGTTTGACAAAATGGTTTAACAAAACGGTTTAACAAAACGGTTTAACAAAACGGTTTAACAAAATGGTTTAACAAAATGGTTTAACAAAACGGTTTAACAAAACGGTTTAACAAAACGGTTTAACAAGACGGTTTAACAAAACAATTTAACAAAGCAATGTAACAAATCAGTTAAACAAAACGGTTCAATAAAACAGTTTAACAAAGCAGTTAAACAAAACGGTTTAATAAAACAGTTTAACAAAGCAGTTAAACAAAACAGTTTAACAAAATGGTTTAAAAAACGCTTTAAGAAAACGATTTAACAAAGCAGTTTAACAAAACGGTTAAAAAAACGCTCCAAGAAAACGATTTAACAAATGATTTAACAAATGGTTTAGCAAAATGATGTAACGAAGAGGTTTAATGAAAATATTTTTAAAAAACGGTTTAAAAAAACTATGTAACAAAACGATTTAACAAAAAGATTTAACAAAACTGATCGAATTGTTTATTTAGGGAAGATGGCATTTGATATTCGAAACTTAATCCGGGAGCGAACAATACAGAAGGAGTTTAATAAACCAGAAAATGAAGATGAAGAAGAAGAAGAGGAAGAAGAGGATGAGAAGGAAGAAGAAGAGGAAGATATAGATGTGGATAACGATCAAGAGGTGATCTAACGTTAAATTAATTCAAATGAAACGGTCTCTTTAATATTTTAAAGTTGCGCGCACAAAATAATGCAAATGCCCATCAATTTTCTTATTCTGTCGTCTTTGACAAAATGGTAAATTTGTATATTTTATTAAAAATGTATTTTGCTTAGGTTGACCCAGGAGCACTAGAACACACACAGGTAAATTTAAAAGGTCAAGATGGGGGTTATGAAGGGGTCAAGATTGGGGGTTATGAAGGGGTCAAGATTAAGGTCAAATTAAAGGTTATGGGGTAAGGGTTGGGGTCAAACTAAAAATATATGGCCTAAAGGTTATAAAGATCTGTGGGTCAAGTTATAAATCTCCAGGAAGTTAAGTCAATGCAATCGAAACTTTAAAAAAGTTAATTTCAAAACGTTTACCTTGAAAATTAAAGTTCATCTTAGAAATTATGCGGCAAAACTTAATCAAGATGAATATCTAAATTATATATTTCGGAGAAATTATTAAATTAATTTTTGTTATTTTATTCTAGACAAAACTCAAATCTAAATTTGCCAACTTCAGCGTTATTTCTCTTCTTAGCAGACCATCACCAGAGAAACCACAGGTAGAGATAGATAGATAGATAGATAGATAGATAGATAGATAGATAGATAGATAGATAGATAGATAGATAGATAGATAGATAGATAGATATTAAATATTCATATTTCTAAATATTTCTTTATTTAATTCTTTATTTTGATATTTAGGTTGAGGAACTAGAAGCAGCTAGACCTTTATTTCCGTTCATGTTCCCACCTCTCTACCCCTGGAGAGGGGGGAAGGGTGCCCCCTGGTCCTCACCCCTTAAGGGGGCCTTCCCCTCCCCCCTAGATATGTCCCCTTTCCTGCAGGATCCACGACACCCTTTGCACTTGGCACATTCTACTCTCTTTAGATCGGTAAGAGACATGAGCTGGGAACTTTAGAATTGGAAACCCTGTTCAATCTGAATATCCAATGTGGACACTTTTAATATCCTGCTTAATCCGCTCGAACATGTTTTGTCAAATAAAAGTTCTCTTCATTAAAATAATAATATTCTGGTAAGAATGTCGTCTTCATGGCAAAGAATTTAAAAATAGAGATATTTGAATTACTATGTATACGACTATAAATAGACGTGTTTTCAGGCCGTAATACAATACCCTAGACCGTTATCCACAATCAGAGCAAATATCACGGCACACCGGTTGTTGTCCATTAAAGTTTTTTAAAATCGAATTTTGAAGAATAAAAAATTTGAATTTATTTAAGTGTACGACTCTTACATGATAATCGTGGATTTTTTTGCAAAAAAAAATATGAATCCATTTGGTTCAGCTGTTTAACAGAATATAGGAAACATCTGTACGATTTTGGATTTTCTTATTATATAATAAGTTGATGAGCCCAACGTTTTCCAAGTAATATAAAAAATCTAATTTATAGAAGAATTTGAATTTATAAAAAATATGAAGATCCTGGAACAGCTCTGGATTCCTTCAAAAATTGTCGAGGCTTTCGGTTCAACTGTTTCGCCAGCTGTAAAGAACATGAATAAAAATATATATATTTTGATAAAATAGCCGTGTCCTAAAAAGAATAGTAAAAGATTTGTGACTTTATAATTGCGTAAAAAAAATCGTTTTTGGCCGAAAATGGTTTTTCTTTTTTTAATATCTTCTAAACAAAATGTCGTAAAAAACTTTCGAGCCACACAAAAGATGCACAAGATGCTTTAGAATGCACTGGAAAAAACAGATTGAAAAAATGTTCAAAAATGACCTAGTTATGGGCGTTGCCGTGAAAATATTTGTGAAAAATCGATACTTTGTCATTTTTTCAACGTTTGTAGGTCGATTTTAAGATTTTAAAAGCTGGAAATGTATTCTCCAAGATCTCCTGCTATCTTTAATGGTCTTTAAAGTTTTTCTAGGGCGTCGGAAAGCATAATTAAAAATTTTTAAAAAAAATAACTTTAGACGATTTTGACGAAATTACTATATTTTGACATTATTTGGCCTTAAAATATCAAATTTACCAGCTTCTGATTGACTGTTTGGGAATCTGCAGACGCCACTCTATTAATTGAATTTTACGAACTTTTTTAGACAGTATTCTTAAAAGGACTGTAAGCCGATCCTCCGAGCCCTCCTTGAAAAGGTCACAATGCCCGATTCACAACGGTACCCTTTAAAGCTTTGTTGTTGTGAATAGAGCATTACCGGACCATCCTTGCATGGACACGGGCAGCCGTAGTACATTTGAATTTCCGAGCCGGGTCAACTAACCTTTCCGGTCCCAGTTTGTACTGTATCGTCCGAAAATTGGGCAGACACTCAATAGGACTAGCCGGTGCAACAAGGTGGACGCGGTCAGACTTTAGGTTAAATTTGCTTTTACTAAAGGGTCAGACGTGCGCGTGTTGGGTCTTTTGAAATTACTAGCTTACAGTCCCACGTGGATTTAACGGTTCTGTCAATATTCCAGAAAGCTGTGACTTTCGTTCACAATTTGACCCATTAAAGACAATTTTTTAGACTTTTCTATAAAATACTTTTTTGTTGGCATATGCATTTTGAATTTCAAATAGATAGAAATAGATTTCAAATAGAAGAAAACGAATGCTGCTCACTCTGGTTAGTCCGGTGTGGTCCCTTTATATATATACCTAGTGTTTAATTAAAATACGGAAACATGAAATTTTACGAATACCGGAAACTAAGGAAGGAAGAAAGAACACAGTCTGAATAGATTTATGTTATTAACTTCTCGTGTGTTTAGTGTGATAAAATGTTGACTGGTGTACACGGCCTGGACAGTAGACGGACACAGATCGGCAAACGGCCGTATGCTTGCGAACTTTGCAACAAAACATTCGGCCATGAAATCAGCCTAAATCAACACAGGTAGACATCATTTTGGCGAGAAAATAAAATCAGAAAAAAACGAGATAGATTTACAAATAGTACCAAATGATTTCACATTTTGTAAAAATCAATTCTAAGGAATATCCGAACGTGCGCTAGAGATGTAGTTGAACTAAACATACCAAGTTCAACCACTTCAGTTCTTCAAATCTGATTCTGAACTTTTTTAAAGATTGCAAATGCACCAGTTTAGATTTTTATACATATGTCTGATTCACAACGGTACCCTTCAAACCTTTGTCTGAACAACGCATGGGGTAGATACCTCATTTATATAACTGAAGATTGAGTGCAGGGAGACTTGAGGTTACAGTGTACACTGTACACTTTGTACACTTTATGCTAGTGTACACTTGCGCGGTTTCTTGGCACTTACTTTCCCGCTATATAAATAAGAATATGTACGAAATCTTTGATCAATCAAAGGTTTAAAGAGTATCGCGCGTTGTAAATTTGAAAATTTCACTGTATGAATGGAAGGTCATTTATATTGCGCTTACAGTCCCTTATTACGGTGTTATTTAGGGCTGTTCACAATCTAGAGAAAGTATTATTTAGGGCTGTTCACAATCTAGAGAAAGTATTCGAATGCAAACAATGTGGAAAATGTTTTAAAAGAAGTTCTACTTTGTCCACACATCTTCTTATACATAGGTAACAAGATGATAAACTATCTATAGCTATATGTCTTCTTATAACCTATCAAATCAGGAAAAGTTCCATATTAAGTGATGGAATCCCTTTTAGTGCAATACTCATAATCATGATCACTGGATTTTGAAATCCACTTTTGCTTAATCTCTTCGATTACTCGAATATAGTGATTACCATGGTAGATATCAAATAAAGATTAGATTAATCTGCAGATTAAGATGAAGATCAAGAATTGATCTCGTTATTCATATAATCCGGAAATAAATTTAGTCTTTGCCACAAACTCAAATTTTCCAATCCCTATATCTTTGCAACCCAAGACTTTAAATATTTCAAACTATGAATTCAGCGAGTGAAAATAATGTAAATTTGATATATTAAAGGTCCAAGCCATCAGGTTTCAAAGATATCAGAAAATTTGAGTAAGGGGTAAAGACTCAAATCCTTTCGTCCAAGCGGGAAGTGTGACTAATATTCTAATGTTGATCTGATTACTGTATATTGCAGTGATACCAGACCTTACCCTTGTCAGTATTGTGGGAAACGGTTTCATCAGAAGAGTGATATGAAGAAACACACTTACATTCATACAGGTAATAATAATAATAATAATAATAATTCCCACATATTCATGGCTATTTATTTATTTTCGCAAATACTGAAATTTACGAAATATAGTATAAAACTCATTAAAGAATTGTCAAGACGACATTTGACAAATTCTTCCGATGTATTCGTTATTAAGGGTTTCACTGTAGTATTTTTAATCAAGAAAAACTAAAAATGTGCAAATTTCTTTTGACAGGTTGTTTGCAACAAAATTGAAATTTTTTTTTGCAAAACTTGTGCAATTCGTTTCCTTTTGTCATAGGTTTTCCAAAAAGCTAAATTTTATCAAAATCTGACAAGTGAAAGTGGGTCAAAACAAAGATTTAGTTTGTTACAGGCAAAAGCAGTCATTCAGGCAGTGTGCCTGAGGACTCAGGAAGTTAGTATTAAGCCCGGTTTTAGGCCTAAAGGGAGGGCTTTGGGTATGTAAGAAAACTCAGAAAATTTCAACAGCCTCAGACCAATACTTTTTGAGTTATGTAAAATAGGAATAGGGTTAAACGATCGTTTTTTTCGTTTTCCTATCGTTTTTTGTTTCGTTTTCCGATCATTTTAAAAACAATCGTTTTCCGATCATTTAAAAAACGATAGTTTTTTAAATGATCGGAAAACGAAACAAAAAACGATAGGAAAACGAAAAAAAAGATAGTTTTTCAAAAAATGAAAACGTTAACATCCCTACTTCCGTGTAATTAGAGGTCACAAAGTCATACGTGTAATGTTGCATGAATTTATTCTTCTCTATCTGACTTATTAGAAAAAGTATTCTCACGTGGATTTAACGGTTCTGTCAATATTCCAGAAAGCTGTGACTTTCGATTACAATTTGACCCATTAAACATGATTGGTTAGCCTTTTTTCTAAAATACTTTTTTTGTTGGCATATGCATTTTGAATAAAAATGTATAAAATAAACAAATCCGTAAAGTAAATGATTGTTTAATTAAAGACCAAAACATGTTTGATTTCAAATAGAAGAAACCGAATGCTGCTCACTCTTGTTAGTCCGGTGTGCTCTGAAAGTAAACATTGTTTAAAACTGAAGATTGTCAAAAAATGTTTAGTTTTAAAGCCTATTTTTTCAGCCTTTTTCTTGCGATCTTTGTGGGCGAGCATTTCAAAGAAAAGTGGATTTAAGAAGACACAAGGAAACTCAACACACAGAGGTATTGTAATAAGTAATTTCGTTTGTATCCAATAAACGTCAAAACGGCTGAAATTATCGGGCCCAATTTTTGTGGGACCTCACTTGACCTCAGGGAAGGTTTATGGATACTTAAAAGTAAACATTTTTACCTCAAAAATGTAAATTTTTTAAAATTTAGAATTTTTTTTTAAAGATTTTATTTGAGTTTTACAATTAAAAAGAAAAGTTGAAATTGAAATTGAAATTGAAATTGAAATTGAAAAGCAACATTGAAACGCTTATATTGTTGCTAGACGAAAGCCTAGTATTATTAAAAATTATAAATGTACAATTATATAAAAATTATAAATGTATAATGAACATTGAACAATGACCATGTTTTGAAATAAAATAAAAATCAAAACAAAAGTAAACATTCATGAATAAATAAAAATGATAATTAAAATATCAAAATAATGACATTGATTTGATACATTGTTAATTTAAATGATAATACAATGATAATAATAATAATAATAATGAATAAAGATATCAACAATAATAATACGAATAATAATAATGATAATAATATAGATTCGAGGTAATCACAACAGTCACGTGACAAACTCTCCCTTATCCTTTCCAGGTTAATAATAAATCATATTTTCAAATTAGTACAATTTTGATTTAACTGTTTTTTTAAAACTTTTCAAATATTTTAAGTGAACAATTTGTAAAAAAAGAAAATTTTGAAATAATTTCTATTGTTTACCACATTTTATGGTGTCTGGTACTTTCCCAAAAGCAGTTTCCCAAGGGCGACTTCCCAAAGGACAATTACCCAAGTGGCAACTACCCAAATGCGCAATTTCCCAAAGGTTAGGTTAGGTCTTCTGAGGCGCAATGGGGGGGCAAGCGCTGCGGCTAGGATGAAATAGGGGGACGAGCTCCGCGGTTTAAACAGGTTGGGGGGACGAGTGCTGCGGCTAGAACAGACTTGGGAAGTTGCCGCTTGGGAAATTGCACATTTTGGAAGTTGCCATTTGAGAAAAATCCTTTGATAAAGTACCTCACATTTTTTTTGTAAAATTATTTTTTTTCAGGATTGCATCAGCTGCACATGTTTCAGCCACAGGTAATAATAACTATAATGATGATGATGATGATGATGATGATGATGATGATGATGATGATGATGATGATGATGATGATGATGATGATGATGATGATGATGATAATGATGATGTAAAATGCATAAATGTATTTTTTTCAGATTCCGTTAAGCTCATTGAGAAAACCAATGTAACCGAATCTCTGAAGAATTGAATATTCTTAAATGTTTTCTTCTGGTGGGAAAATTAGATGTTGTCTTCTGTCACATCTTTTGATGCTAAAATTTATCTGATTGATTTCAAAAAGTAAATAACAAGCTGAATTTTAGCAAATACTCCCAAATGTGCTCTAGCGGCTCCAAACGTATATAATTCTTCTAGTTGCTCCAAAAATTGTACAATTCTTCTAGTTGCTCCAAAAAGTGTATAATTCTTCTAGTTGCTCCAAAAAGTGTAAAATTCTTCTAGTTGCTCCAAAAAGTGCACAATTGCTCCAAAAACGATTAAAACAATGCGAAATACTTGAGTGCTATAATTCCCTAAACTGAAATCAATGGATTCTAGTCAAATTGGATTGTTAACGGATTGTTTAAGCGACCTATTTTAAAGTGACATTAGAAATTCATTTCTACAGCAAAGGTTTGCTTAAAAAAACGTTAACATTGCTTTATTTAAATTTTTAAACAAATCTCCTAAATGTACTTTTTGTCAGATTGATTAATGATGTAATCTCATTACAGGTATTCTAGTAATTAATTAGGTATTCAATTAATTAGTTAGTTTGCCATTACGCAATATTACATATTATGATAAACGAACGAAGACGACAGAAATTTTTATAACCATGGGTAAAATCTTCATAATATTTTGCGGCATTAGCGCAGCTCGGATTTTAAGTCATAGGTTTACAAAGGATTAAAGTCGGTTTCACCATAGTAAAAGTTTTAGACACAGTAAAATGGGGTCGGCTCCCCGGCACCCCCCCCCCATTCATTGAAAAAAAAGTTCGGATAAATTTAATTTAACTATTGTTTGACGTGTTTTAAAGAAAATATGCATATCAAACTTTCTTAATGAATTAAGTTAAGAGATTTAAATTTAAATTATGTAAAACTTAATTGTTCTTATGTATTTGTTTTTATATACATATTATATCAGAGCCATATGTTAATGGTTTAGAAACAAATAAATTTCTTCAAATCATTTCATTTATTTTTCTATTCTTGTCGGAATTTCAAGGGATCAGCTCCGATTATCAACTGTACCAATTAACCTTTATACAGGGTGTCCCATGAAACGTGACAGTTGGTGAATGGTTTAAAATGTCTTCTTACATAATTTGTTAAGTCATCATAAAGTAAAATTTATTTCAACGTAAAATATATTTGTGTAAAGATTTTTTTAACAAAATAAACTACAAGAAGTCTTTAATATCTAAAACAGTATAGGGAAGAAAACATTCAAAACTATTCACCAATTGTCATGTTTCGTGGGACACTCTGTAAGATCACTGATGTAGAAAATGTCGTGGTTTTTTCAAGCTTGAAAAGTGTTTACTTCTGACAATTTTCTCACAATTGAAAATAATCAATTTTGAAAGAAAAATCATAGATATCTTATTTTTTCTTGATCATACAGTGATAACCAGAAAACTCTGAGATAGGAAGACGTCTTTTTTTGCAATACTTAAATGTATTTAATGGTGTTACAAAGCAAATAGTTTTAATAGAAACTTATTAAATCACTAATTAAGTGAAATGGGTCTGTTTAAACTGTACAACTGTATCATGCTTATTGGACCATTTAAAGTCATATCTTCACTTTGAAAGTCGTCTTCACATTTTAGAGTTTTCTGGTTATCACCGTACACATTCAGCTTTAAAGAATATTGTTGTCAATAGGACTTTTTTTATTGGGTTATGTACTTTTAAATTTTATTGATATTTATCAATAAAGCTGTTTTTCAAGACAAAGAAAAAAATTGTAATATTTAGTCGCAAATCAGAGCCCAAAACTTAAGACAGGGTATTGTTATAAAAACCAGTTTTGAAACCCGGGTTTCACGAATGGGGTTCGGCAGTTTTGTGGATATCAATATTTTTTTGTTATTAAATATTATTTTATTTAGTTTCTTCATATTCTCCTTTTTTTCGAATCTCTCAAATCAAAATCTACGCAAAAGTTAGACCCCCCAAAATCAAATCAAAAATCAAAATCTACGCAAATGTTGGACCCAAAAAAGGAAACTTTGGAGTTTCGTTTAACGATACTCTTTTAAATTTCGGGCTCTGAGTAACCATAATTTCTTATAGAAAATCTTAATCTATTTGTACATATTTATATATATATATATATATATATATCTTTACTCGAAAAAGGTATCTCACATAATTTAGAAATTTACTATTTTCTTCGGTTTGCCGAACAAACAGGTGTATTTCTGCAGGTTTTTGTTAAACTCCTTCCTAGCCTAGTCACCTCAACCTTAAAAGAGAAAAAATCATCGATTAATAACAAAACAGATAGAACACTACATATCGTTTTTTTTAAGATTTAAGGGTTTTTCGTTTAACATAACCCTGAGCCATGAACTCCAAAAGAGTTCCACAGGCAGCGTTGAATTACAAAACAGAGAGAGAGAGAAAGCATGCGCGTAGCTCTGTTGGGCCTCTGCCTCGGGGTTATTGTTAACGAGAAACCTCTAAATCTTGAAAAGACGACATCTTGTGTTCTATCTGTATTATTATTAATCTATTAAGATAAAGTCGAACTTCTCAACTTATAACTTTTAAACCAAACTAAGAACATTTTCGTCTTGCAAAATTTGAGGCTAATCAGTTAAAGGGTTCCCGAATTATAAAAAAAGACAGAGACAAACAGAGATTACTACTTCATATCGATTACCTTGATATTAAGGCAGTATTTGGGGCAGTCTCCTTCAGGAAGCTGTAATACAATCGGAAAATTGGCAAATCCTCCATTGTCTGAGGGCAAAGACGACGGAGAAAAATCCGCAATAGACGTTTGCTGAATATTTTTTGGAATTGTGCGCGTGGTGCTACTTTGATGGTTAAGCACATTCTGCATAGCAGCCATCTTTACTTCAAGGATATCTTTAACCTGGAAAAATACAAATTAAGGTTTTTTTTAATTTGTATTGAAAAAAATTTATTTAATGAATTAAAACCTGATCTAGCTCTGTCTGAGAAAGTGAGTCTGATAACAACATCTTGTTCAGTAAATCAATTTCAGGTTTGGACATTGTCAAATCCTCTGGGAGTTGAATCCTGCCTTCAATTCCAGTAGTATCTTGAGTATCCTCCATGGCAAGGTTATCATCGAACACTTGATCCATGATGGAAATAGAGAAATCATCAACAAAGTTTGGAGTTTTAAAGATGGCCGGGATTTCTTGAGCCTCAATTTGCGGAGCGTCAAAACTCTCTTTGCCGTTGGAGAAAATATCAAAATTGTTTTCAGCCTCTTTGCCGCCTGCCATTTCAAATGTGCTAAATGTTTCCGGAGTTTTAATAAACTCGTCAATATTGTTTACACTGATCACAGGAACAGACTCCCGAATTTCTCCTTCTGAAAAATAATTAAAAATACATTTATTAATGGTTTGTAATACATGGAGCTATTTTTGGAAGGGAAATTATTAGTGTCTCTCAATATTCAAACACTTTCGTTTGTTCTAAAGTTTGCTGATATATTCCCACATGAAGAGAAGCTGGAAATAAAAATTAAATGCCCCCCCTCCCCCCTCCTCATCCTTCTAGACTAATTAGACGTTTGTAACCTGTACTTGATTCTCCCAGGGGCACAAATGCCAAAATAAAATCATCTTCTGGTCTCTGATCTTTTATAATATCATCTTGTACAGCTTGATCAATTACAGATTCAGATTCTATAGAGTCAGCTCCACCAGCTGCTGGAGTATCCTCCTGTACAGTTGGAACTATAGTCTTAGACACTTTATTATTCTCTGTAACCTCCTGAAAATGAAAACATAGTTTGCAGAAATCCTAACATTTCCTTCGAAATTACAAACAAATTTTCCGAAATTTCGAACATAAATATTTGTTAGATATTCCTAATCTTCTGTTTAAATTTTGAACTAAATGTCGTAAATTCGAAAGGTTTTCGGTAGTCCGATATCACAAATAAAATGCTAGATTTTTTCTAACATTGAAGGGCAAAATATTGTAGTGTAAAAATATCAAAGTTTTTCTCTGGTGATACTTAAAAAGTACATTTTTACTTCAAGTCATAAAAAAGTTTTTGAAAAGGTGACTACACTGAGCACCAAAGTGTGAACCCGCTCGCGCAAAAATATTTTAGAATTGCCAATTACTCCATTTGAACTGAGGAAAACTGATTTTTTAGTTTTTTATTCTATTCTAAATAAAGATACTTGTAAAGAGTAATAAAAATACTCTTGAGGCTATTAACAACATTAGGTAAGCAGGCAAAGGGATAAAGTTTTCAATTAAAATCAGTTTCTAAATATCTAGATTTTTAGAAGAAAAAAGTTTTGTCATGTTCTCTGCCACCCTTACCTGAGCTGTATCAAACTTGAAGCTGTCCTGTAAAAAAATAATAAAAGTTTGAGATTTGCATCTTTTTTGTGATTTGTAATGTGTGAAAAATGTTATACAGTAAGACCCATAAAACTTTAGAATAGAAAGAGGACTATTGTACAATTAGTATGATTTCAGTACCTAAGGGTGAAACTAAGAGGAAATGTTTTGATAAAAGTTTAAATCCATCTTGCACCAGATCTAAAAGTTTCTTTGATGAATTATAAAGAAAAAAGATTTGAGAATTATTTTTTATAATTTTCAAACTCATTCAGAGACAAAATCAGTAATCGAAGCCAGAAATCAAATTTTGTCAAAATAAATCAAGATGGGTCTTTAACCGCCAAATTCAGAAAAGTAAAATTCGTAAAAATTCTTTGAAAATTATAAGCAAAGACTATAACTATTTTCTTGATAACACCATTCACAAAAAAATCTTTTAAAGTCGTCTTCCTATTCCACAGTTTTAAGGGTCCAACAATGTATAAAATGTACGAATTAAAATTGTTTTTTTTCTTCAGAATTTAGCTTTTTTGTATTGTAAAAAAATAAAATGAAATATCTTATTAATTTCCTTAAAGGATTCAAAGTTTTCTCCAAAAGTCTGCTTTCCCTCGAGACCTGATTTTCATTTTATAACATTTCAAATTAACAATAACAATAACAATAACAATAACAGTAACAATAACAATAACAATAACAATAACAGTAACAATAACAGTAACAGTAACAATAACAATAACGATAACAATAACAGTAACAACAACAATAACAATAACAATAACAGTAACAAGAACAATAACTATAACAATAAAAGTAACAACAAAAATAACAATAGCAATAACAGTAACAAAAACAATAACAATTATAATAACAATAACAATAACAATAACAATAGCAATAACAGTAACAACAGCAATAACAGTAACAATAGCAATGATAGTAAAAACAACAATAACAATTTTAATAACAATAACAATAACAACAACAATAACAATTATAATAACAATAACAATAACAGTAACAACAACAATAACTTTAACAATAAATTTAACATTAAAAGCTTAACATTAAAAAACAATAAATGTAACAATAACAGTAACAAATACATTAACAGTAAAAAATATCAAAAGTGATAATTTAAGAAATATAAACCAAAAAGGGATTTGAAGTAAATTTTTGAAGGAAAAGGATGAAACTTGTGTTTATTAGTATAATAAAATATCATTTCTAACCATAAAAATGAAATCTTATAGGTTTTTCAATTTTTAATTAAACGATATTTTTTATAAAATGAATTCCTAAAGTTTCTTCTGAATTATCGTTCTCCTCTACTTCAACAATATTATCTGTAAAATTAGATTTTTTTAAAATATTAATATAAATAGGTTAATAGTTCACAAGGGTAATTTTAAATGACCCTCCATCATACATCCGTACCTTGTTCAAAAGTGATGTGGAAGATATTGTCGTTTTACTTTAAAATATTTAATTCTGATAATTCGTGTTAAAAATAATCGGTTTTCAAAATTATAATCATTGATAACTAATTCATACTTGATCAGACAAAGCTTTTGAGGGTACAGTTGTGAATCCGGCAATGTCATCTTTGCATGGAGGGTCACTTGAAATCGCGTTTACAGAAAATGCTCTGAAATTTTACCTGAAGGATTTGTTGTTCCGATAAAAATATTCTGTCTGTATGTTGTTGTGACAGGAGAGCTTATTTTTATTCTATTCTCTTCATCCCTCTGTATTGTTTCATTCTGAACAATTTCTTCTTCATCAGATTCCTCTTCTTGCAAGTTTTCTTCTTCCTCTTGCGGTCTTCTTTTGATCTTCCTCCGAAGTCCGAATTTGGAGGATTTCGGTGCAAATTCATCGGATTTGGCGAGAGAATAAATATTTGGAGTTACAGGGAACAAATCTAAAACAAATTATTTATAATTTTTGTTATAATCGACGCATTTTTTATAAAGTTGATTTTTCATAATAATTTTTTTTTTTTTGATCTGATAGTTACTTTTGAAAACATTTATTACTGTTTCGAGGATTTTTGATAATGAAGACGACATTTTCAGACAGACAAGCCAAATTTATATATAGATTAGTATAGCTTGAACGCAATCTTCATATTCCAAAGTTGAATGATAAAATGTAATCACAAAAAAATACCTTCTCTCAAAGAAGACCAGGAACTGTCTCTAGCCTAAAAATAATTCAAAATAATTATTCGAAGTTTACAGTTTTATAAGAGATACAGTCCTCAAGTGCCTACGTATTTTCAAGTTTATTTTTAAGGGAGTGCAAAAAAATGAAAGGGGGTTTAGGCTTAAGGCGAAAAATAATCGCTTTTGATCACTACTAATCTTACTTCTAACTGTTGAGTCTAAAAAGAGAAAATTGTTAAAAACAATTTAGACTGAAGAATGTAGCTTCTATACAAATTCAGAAAGTTGCAACATTCAACTCGGATCGTAAAAAAATTTATTTAATTCCAAACAAATCATTCAGACATCACAACCAATAGTTATCGATAATTTTTCGACGCATTTTTTATAAAATTGATTTTTCATAATATTTTGTATTTTTTATGATCTGAGAGTTACTTTTGAAAACATTTATTCCTGTTTCGAGGATTTTGATAATGAAGACGACATTTTCATATTTTCCAGGAATGTTCGGCAATCCAGCGCCAGCGAAATATTATTTTTTAATAATCAAAAATATTAAGAAATATTAACTATATACGAATGCGTCGAAAAATAATCGATGACTATTGTTTGTAATATCTGAATGATTTGTTTGGAATTAAATTTATCCAAGTTAAATGTTGAAATGTTGTATGGAGGCTACGCTTTTCAGCATGAGTTGTTTTTAAAATTTTCTCCTTATAGACGTAACAGATAGAAGTAAGATTAGTAACGATCAAAAGCGCTTTTTTAACCGTAAGCGTATACCCCCTTTCATTTTTCACGAACACTCCCTTTAAAGAACCGCACTACCCGATTCATAACGGTACCCTTAGAACTTGCATCTGATTACGTTAACGTTAAGATAACGTTTTTTTCCTAGAAAAGTATTTAATTTTGATCATTTTTCCACTATGTGTTTATAGATAAACCACAAAAGAAAATAATCAGTTTTCAAAAAACAAATAATGGATATTTTATTCATTCTTCCTGCTGTTGCGAATCGGACATGCCACTCTATCAATGGAGGATTACTTATAATGACACTTACAGTCCCTTTAATTAACATGACAATTAATCATGTATGACTTAACTTGTAAAATTATAGATGATCAATTAATCAAACAAAATAAAAAATTTAAGGTTTTTTAGTTTTTTTCATTTGCATATTTTTTCGATTACAATTCTAGCTTTAGAGGCCCTGAAAAAAAAATTTACCGGGAAATTGGAAAATCGTCTGCGGAGCTTCCCCTCGTCGATAATCTCAGCCTCTGTTTCAGGCTTACTGGCCGATTTTGATGAAAATTCGGCCACCGATTTCGCTCCCTCTGGGGTTAGTTGTTCTATGACTGATGGAGAACTTTTGCTAACTTTTGGAAAAGCAGATATTCTTTTGTACATGGGCCTTGTAGGTCTTGTAATAATTTTCGTTGTGCTTGTAGTTGTTGTGCTTGTAGCTGTTGTTGTGCTTGTAGTTGTTGTTGTGCTTTTAGTTGTTGCTGTGGTTTGAGTCTAAAATAGAACACTAGTTAAAATATGTGTAGCCTGAGCTGGGAACTTTTGCAATGCAATATTTCAAATAGAGATTAAATTAATCTGAAGATTAACAAAAGGTTGAGATCAAGAATTGATCTCGATAATCACACTACAAGAGATCCCAGCTCTGATAGGGCTGGTTAACCACAAAGAATGTGACTGTAAAGACGACATAGATATGACAATTTAAAAGTTCACTTAAGTCTTCTGCCTTAATAATAGTCATTTAGCTATTTAATGATTTGACAGAGAAAGAATCAAGTTTACAGCAGCAGGGTCAGGAAATCATGTATTTTAGAAACAGATAGTATCAATTTCATGCAGTCTTCCTTGCAGTCTCTTAAATTGTGGACTAATTCCAGGGAATTTCTCGAGAATTTCCGAGGAATCATTCACAAGAACTTAATCTCGAGAAATTCCATTCCTCCGAAGTCCGAATTTGGAGGATTTCGGTGCAAAATCATCGGATTTGGCGAGAGAATAAATATTTGGAGTTACAGGGAACAAATCTAAAACATAAATATAGATCAACAAATTATTTCTAACTTTCGTTATAAAGTTCTATTTTTAAATGTTAAAATCGCAACAATTCTGGAAATAATTGACAATATTGACCTAAAACCTTACTTTGTATCAAAAAAAAAATATTTGAAAATAAACAAAAGTACAAAATCATCACTATCCCCGTAAACTGTCTTTTTCTAGTTAATGGGACTGTATGCGTAATTTCAAGTGACATTCACATTAAATTGTATGTCACTTGAAATTTCGCCAGCATTCCCTTTAAGGCTTTTTTTGCAAGATTTAAGATACATTACGCAATGAAAATAGTTTGTTTCGTTAATATTAATCGAAATATTATATATCTTTACTTTATTCTTTACATTTGGTAAAACCGAGGAATACATTTACATTTGGTCCTGTAAAACCGAGGAATATGACGTGACAAACAGTATATAACAGTATTGTCAACCATTAACAAAATGTCTCCGTGTAAAGTCGTCTTTAACTTAGGTCCCCTCTTGGAGACACTAAACCAAACAATTTTAACCCCCTTTTCTTTGTTCTCCCTGGCGGAGTCATAAACAACCTCGCGTATTGTGAATCCATTTTCAAAAGTTAAATATTTCCATATAAAGAATTAGTGACTTTCGTTAATAATTAATTGTCATCTTATTTCAGAAGTTTTAGTACTGTTCAACAATTGTTAACCCCTTTATCATCCGCTATTAGATCGTAAGGTTTTTTTCATTATAGACATTCATTATAACATTTGTACACGTTATCAATATATGTTATTTTTTTCAGGGAATAAAGAGAATTTTTGTTATCGATTTTTGAGACGGGGGTTCATTCTGTGTCTGCTGTTATAATCGGGAAATATTGTTGGGAAATATATATCCTTCAACGACTGATTCCAGCGGGCCTATTATTATCTCATCTTGAGAATTTGGATTTCTAGCCGTCAACAAGTATATCTTGAGGGCAATCTTCATATTCCAAAGTTGAATGATAAAATGTAATCACAAAAAAATACCTTCTCTCAAAGAAGACCAGGAACTGTCTCTAGCCTAAAAATAATTCAAAATAATTATTCGAAGTTTACAGTTTTATAAGAGATACAGTCCTCAAGTGCCTACGTATTTTCAAGTTTATTTTTNTGTAGTTGTTGTTGTGCTTTTAGTTGTTACTGTGGTTTGAGTCTAAAATAGAACACTAGTTAAAATATGTGTAGCCTGAGCTGGGAACTTTTGCACTGCAATATATTAAATAGAGATTAAACTAATCTGAAGATTAACAAAAAGTCGAGATCAAGAATTGATCCCGATATCCACAGTACAAGAGATCCCAGCTCTGTTAGGGCTGGTTAACCACAAAGAATGTGACTGTAAAGACGACATAGATATGACAATTTTAAAAGTTCACTTAAGTCTTCTCCCTTAATAATAGTCATTAAGCTATTTAATAATTTGACAAAGAAAGAATCGAGTTTACAGAAGGCTCAGGAAATCATGAGTTCAAGAAACAGAAGTATCAATTTCGTGCAGTCTTTCTTGAAGTCTCTTAAATTGGGGACTAATTCCAGGGAATTTCTCGAGAATTTCCGAGGAATTATTCAAAAGAACTAAATCTCGAGAAATTCCTCGGAAATTCTCCAAAACTGGAGAACTTGGGAAAATTCCTCACTTCTGTTACCTGGGATAGAATTAATTTTGTGCAGTCCTCCATGAAGTCACATTTTTGTGGGTTTTTGGGTTTTTAATTGGCCCTTTTTAAGATTAATTTTACCTTAGGTTTGAATCCTTCTAACTGTGTATCAGTTTGCTTGGATCTCCAGAAATTCAATTGTTGAAAAACATCTATAAAAATAAAGTTTAAAAACTAAAATTATTTTTCGTTAAAAGCAGTGATTTTGAAAAACTTGGCTTCTGCAGTAATGAATGCAACTTTGATTTTCTTAAAGTTTACTATTTTCAAATAAGAAAAGGCCATTTTTTATTTAAATGACCCTAAATTTTTAGCGTGACATCCCCAATGTACAACGAGACCCTTCAGCACTTTAACGGATTCACAAATATAACAATGATGAAGATATCATCGTTTTCTTAGTCTGGAAAAGACATATACTCGGCCTCGGTTAATTTACTTCCTTTTTCCTACTGCATAAGACCGCAAGTCTTTTAAGCAGACACAGAATAAGACATGGGCCACTTTTTTACCACGTTTACAGACTCTTAAATTAAAATTGACACCAAGTGTACACCATCACAGATTGTACAAAATAGCGCCATTTGTTAAAATTGCAAAGAAAACATGAGTTTGCAAAAAATCAATGTCAATCGTCAATGTCAGATGTTTGTGCAAAAATAAAATTATTTTTAAAGGGACAGTGCACATAATTTCAATTGACCTGATTTACAACATTATCCTTTAAACTTTCATAACTTTGATTCCCTTTCTCAAAGTCTTGAGTCTTTGCCACAAACTCTGATTTTTCTTTTCCCTCCAGTTCAATGTCGTAGATCTTATAAATATTTCAAACTATGATTTCTGTTAGATCAAATAATCTATATCTTGAAATTTTATAGGGTTACATCATCATGTTGCAAAGATATAGGGCTTAGAATATTTGAGTCTGTGACTCAGACTCAATTCCTTTGAATTTTCATTGTACAAATGTAGGGTCATGTGAAACCCGTGTAAAGTTCCTTAAAAAATTGTTTTTACCTTGTATTTCAGGGTTAACATCTGGTTGAGGAGTTGGGGTGGCTGGGAGACCTTCAGTTTCATCTTTAGTAGCGGACCCTTTAAATTAAAGGGATTATCAACAAAATATTAATTAAAGGGATTATCAACAAAAATTAAAAAGTGCGACCTATTTTTCAAATCGTAAATAATGTAGATGAAATGTAGCCGAAGGAATTTTTTACTGTGAAACCCTTAATAACGAATACATCGAAAGAATTATTTACTGTTTTTATACGGATAAACCGTAAATAAGCAATACATCGAAAGAATTCATCAAATGTCGTATTCTTCACTTTTTGATAATGTAATGTTGCAGATATTTAGTATTTTAATTAAATGATTATATGGAGCTCTTTAAAACTGTTCCCGTATATTCATGTCTATTTATTTATTTTCGCAAATACTGAAATTTACGTAATATAGTATAAAACTCATTGAAAAATTGTCAAGACGACATTTGATAAATTCTTTCGATGTATTCGTTATTAAGGGTTTCACTGTATGTATTTTTGTTTAAAGATTACCTTCAAGTTTATTAGATCTGTTTGGGATTTTGAACATTGGTCGCTTTTTAGGATATTTTTCTGTTTTTGAAAACTCAATGCTTTCATCGTCGAAATTTTCAATTCTGCGATTTATCTGATTTAAGTTGTTTGATTTATTTTGCTGAGATTCAACCATCTTCATGATTTCATCATTTTCAGTAGTAGCTGACAGTTTCTCAAACTCATCCTCTTCATATTCCTCATCATCATATTCTTCTTCTTCTTCATCATCTTCTTTTTCTTCTTCAATACTTGGTTCGGTAGTTCTTCTTTGACTTTTGATTTTGATTCTTGTTGGAACTAAAATAAAGAAAAATGTTCATTAAAAACATTAAGAATAATTATTGATTTTACTAATTTCTTTTTAACCTGATGGTGTAGAATGTGTGACTATATATATATATATTACTACAGTGAAACCCTTAATAACGAATACATCGAAAGAATTCATCAAATGTCGTATTCTTCACTTTCTGATAATGGAATGTTGCAGATATTTAGTATTTTAATTAAATGATTGTATGGAGCTCTTTAAAACTGTTCCCGCATATTCATGTCTATTTATTTATTTTCGCAAATACCGAAATTTACGTAATATAGTATAAAACTCATTGAAAAATTGTCAAGACGAAATTTTATAAATTCTTCCGAAGTATTCGTTATGAAGGGTTTCACTGTAGCAGAATTTATTCTTAGGAACAAAGAAAACAAAGAAGACACAACTGTTGCTTGTAAAGCGCTTAAATTCAGCGGCTTAACTTGATATCCACAATGAAAACTTTTAACTTTAAGGATTTAGGTTTACTTCCGGTGCTCCGGTTTACTTCCGGTGATTAACTGAATAAACACGAAGAGTGTCAAAGGTTGGACAAAACATCCGATCACCGAAGTCAAAGATTTAAGATGCAAAAGTAAGGTTCCTTTCTTATCTTTAAAAATAAAAAAAAATATCCCATTTGAAAAAAATTCCAAAACACTTTAAGGGAATTATGAAAAAGATTTAAATCAATAATTTTATAATTACAATAATTTCATGATGAATTTTTTTTTTCAAACAAAATTTAACAATCGCAACATAGCTAGTCATTGGAATTACTAACATCAAAAATTTTATTCATTCCATGCTTTCATAATTAAAACTATTTCATATAATATTTTGACAAAAATTCGTCATGGGGGGGGGCATNAATTATTACCAAAATAATAAACCTCTTGTTAATTATTACCAAAATAATAAACCTCTTGTTAATTATTACCAAAATAATAAACCTCTTGTTAATTATTACCAAAATAATAAACCTCTTGTTAATTATTACCAAAATAATAAACCTCTTGTTAATTATTACCAAAATAATAAACCTCTTGTTAATTATTACCAAAAGAATCAGATCTAATCAAAGGAAATCTTTTTTGCCCAACAATTCCTCTTCTTGTTTCTGTTGTTGTTTTTGTTGTTGCTGTTGTTGTTGTTGAGGCACTTTCTGTTGTTGTTGTTTCTGATTCAAACAATTCTTATAAAAAATAATAAAAAGAATAGAAGAAAAATTTGGAACACTTGTAACTAACTCTAATTTTCTAATCTTTACCCTGCTTGCACCTCTCATACTTCTAATTTCTGCCAGATAAAATAGTTAAAGAGACTGTTCACTTATTTGGGTAATTTGAGGGTATTAGTCTTACTTTTCAAAGACAACTGTGGCCTGAGAAAAAGCCGATTTATCATTCAGAATTCCAGCGCAAAGGTATAATACCCTTGCATTTACACTATTTGATGCTTTTTGTTGTGCAGGTCATGGATTTAACAAAATTTTCAAATATTAAATTTAATTGTTGTATCTAATAGTTAATTGTATATATCTTTAGTTTTTTTCAAAATTATTTTAAATTGTCTATTTTCAAAATATGACTTATTTTAAACATTTGACGGTTAGATAAGTTTTCCCTACTTCCCCAGGAATCCCCCTGATTTATTGAAGAGTTGGAATCTAGGAACCGGTTTGTCTGAGAGAGAAAGTCGTCTTTGTATAAACGTGTTAATTTGTTAAATCAAGTTTGAACACGACAAACGTTAATTTCTTGCTAATTGTAAAATCAAAAGTTTTTATATTTTGTTATATAATAGCTGACACATGATGTCATTGAAATAAGATAATTTTTGATATTATTGAACTGTAGTTACAGAAAAAAAATAGTGTCTATGCAAAGATATTGTACCTTTTCCATTGGAATTTTCAACGATAAATCGTATTTTTCTCGGTCATAGATATCTTTGAAAAGATTAATGCCAATGAATAGCTAATAAGCTAATTAGTTTACCATAAAATTACCCAAATAAGTGAACGGTTCCTTTAAAATTTAAAGTATCAAACTTTTCACCATCAGGTTGCAAAAAGGGTTTAGAAAAATAGAATTTGAGGAAAGTGTTTCGTACTTTTGTAAAAAACCTACAGAACTGGAATTTTGTCAAATTATCAACCCTAATCAGATGTGTTTACTAAAAAGCAAAATTGATTGAAAAATATTTAGTTTTTATCAAGGTATTGTACGTGTTTACTTAAAGAATAAAAAGAATTGAAAACATTATTCAATTCAGTTTTCATATCATAAATATTATTTCGAATTTTAATATAATTTTGATAAGAAAAAATTAAAAACAGAGGAAAAAATGAAAATGTTTAAAAGATTATTAAACAGTTAGACAATTGCATTTAGGGCAAAAGGAATTGAGTCTTTGCCACGATCTCAAATTTTCTCATCCCTATATCTTTGCAACCTAATGATGTAAGCCTTTGATATTTCAAACTAAGATTACTTGATCTAACAGAATTCGTAGTTTGAAATATCTAAGGTCTACGACATTGGGTTGCGAAGATAAAAAATCAGAATTTGTGTCAAAAACTCATTTCCTTTATGAAATATTTCTAATTCAAGGACTGAATGCTGTTTACCTGTTTGAGATTCATAGCTCTCCATAAGTCGTTTTTTAGCACCATAGATAGGTATTTCATTTAACACATTTTTTCTAAGCATTCATCATAAAATAATAAAATAATAATTTTAGAATATTTAATACCAAAAAAGTTCTTTAAAACAATATGGAACAGTCCCAAATAGGATTTACAATCGGAATTCCGTTGCGCGGAATTGCGCGCAACTGTTCTCGAATTGCGCGGAATTACTTGGAAATTTAAAGAGATCCATGACGGATTAAAAACAGTATCTCTCAAACCTTTATCTGCATAAAAATTAGGTATATTTTGTTTTAAAAAGTACGAGATCAATTCTGCCACTTTCATTTCTGTTCTCTGCTTGATAAATAAATTAATTTCAAAATCGAAACCACATTTAAAAATTTTTAATTTTCAGAAAGAAAAACACGGATATCTCGAACATATTTTATCTCGGTGAAAGGTTTAAGGCACCGTTTGGAATTGGGCACACATTTCTTTGAATAGAGTGTCACCTCAAAGTACATCAAGTGTCCCATTAATTAACAAAAATTTTAAATTATTATATTTTTGATTCCTCCGATTTAAAGCAGGTATACGGGATCCTGAAGAACTTCGTTGAAATTCTGGATCATCTAAAAATAAAAAAAAGTTTATTTCATAGTTTTTTTTGTATTATTTGTAAGTAATAATTTGCTATAGTTTAGTTGTTTCTTAGTTCTTTCTGTAAAACGACTAAAAAAAATTTTTTGCGTTTTTTCCGGTGTGATCGAAAGTGTTTTTAGAATTATTTTTTTACAAATCGGTTATGCCAGATTGTCGCTTATGGGGGGGGGGAATATTAACAAACTAACATCCCAACAGGCAAGTGAATTATCCTGTATGCCGAGTCCATTAGCGCCTGATTTAATCAGGGTTCAGTCATGTGTTTGTTGTCTATACTAAACCAATAGAAATAGTATGGCGTTAACTTCTATCTTTCTATCTAGCTAACTATGGTGTTTTATATGTATATGTTTGCTGAAACCACCAAATGACCCTATCAGTTTACCAACATAGTCTTATATAATATTATATTACTATCTTGGGAACCCAGCTATGTCGTAAACTATCAAAGTCAACTCATTCAAGTTTTCAACTAAAAACAATTTAGTAGTTTCACCGAGATCCATTTTCAAAATTTGAGGCAAATTGGTTCTGATCGGACATACATCTATATTCTAATCTATATATATATATATACTTTGCTTGTCTGTTAGGATGTTTGTATTGTATCCAATAAACGTAAAAACAACAGAACCAATCGGGCCCAAATTCTTTGAGGGACCTTCCTTGAAGGGGGAAGGTTTATGGAAGATTGAATTTTCAACAAATTACCTTCAACAAAATTCTATTTTTGAAAATTTTGAAAATCCACAATTTTTTTACATTGTCCACAAAGAGAAATGTTCACAATAAAAATGAAAGATGGGCGTAGGGTTTTCATTCGCAAAACTTTTGCGCAATTTTTGCGAAAGAAAGTGAAAATTTTTGCTTTCATTTCGATAGATTTTTTCGCGAAAAAATAGCACTTTGCGCAATCATTCGCAAACTTCATTTCGCGCAAAATTGCGCTATTCCGCTTTTGCATAATGCGCAATATTGCGGAACAAATTCTCAGTAAAAGGTTGAATAAATGTGTAAACGTACGCGCAAAATTTATTGCGCTTCATGCACAAAATATTTGTGCGAAAATTACGCAAATTTTACGCAAAAAATATGGTAATTTCATGGAAACCCTAGATGGGCGCAAAGCGCCCTAAAAGCCTAGTTACATTCATACAAACAAACAAACAGACAAACAGACTAACAGACATTGCGGATGTATACGGATATAAACGGATGTATACGGATGTATATGGATGAATACGGATATATACGGATGTATACGGATGTATATGGATGTATACTGATATATACGGATATATATGGATATATATGGATGTATATGGATGTATATGGATATATACGGATGTATACGGATGTATATGTATATATGTGGTATTTCATGAGCGAAAAAATAATGACCATGAATTCTGAAGAAAACAAACGTTTCTCAAACATGTCATTTTCAAGAAAATTAACATGTTTCTTCTTGGTTTCCCAGTCAAAAAAATGAACTTGATATTTTGAATTATTATTTTACAAAGTTCAGATCAAGGTTATTGTTCCATAGGTTAAGTTAGGCGTTCTGAGGCGCCACAGGCTTCAATAGGGGGCCGTGCGCTGCGGTCTAGGACAGGCTTGGGAAGTTGCCGCTTGGGAAGTGGCCGCTTGGGAAGTGGCCGCTTGGGAAATTGCCCATTTGGGAAGTTTCCTCTTGGGAAATTACCCTTGGGAAATTGCCGCTTGGGAAAATGCCATGTATATATTTTTATACAAATCTAGCTGTGTGTATAAAGCTTGTTCATCCTGCATCTGTAATCATCAATAATCATCAATAATTATTGATAATCACGATCGCTCACCCGGATTTAGCGATTTGGTCCGTATTCCGTCAAACTGTTACTTGCGAACACAATTTAACCTATTCAAATTAAATTTTCGCTGTTTCTTTTTTTGTACTTTTTTGAGGGCAAATGCGTCCTCAATGAAAAAAGTATATACTCTGTAAATATAATGATAGTTGAATTATTGGCCAAAGCTTGATTGAATTCAAGTAGAAGAAACCAAATGCATCTGATCAGATAAAGGTTTCAAGGAAAACATTTAGTTTCAAAGACTTGTAATTGCATCTGAGCTGCAGTACATTTAAAGCCAGTGAGAATAAGGTTATTATGTACAATTCTTTATATGTACTCAAGGATATAATGAAAGGAAAGTTATTTCAGAAGTGTACGCATCTTTTGTACTGCAGTGTACTGTCTCTGGGCGGTAATGTAAACACAAGACGGATGTTACAGCCTGACATGGATACATATTTCACATAAAAAAATCAATGAAATATTCTGGTCATAAGAAACAATTATATGAATTATCAAAATTATCAAATTTAATGCTTTTAACCTACTCGGATACTAAACGAACACTGATGCATCTATTCTTGTTTACAAATTCCGTCCAAAGAGAACTGGTTTCAATATGTACGCAGTGTATAACACGACCGCAATTAACTTTCCATGCATTACACCCTTGCTCATGCTTATCTTCCCGTTTAATTTTGTGTTCAATAAACGGCAAAAACAGCTGAACCAATCACATGATCCCCAAGGTATGTTTTATATATCCTCAAAGTTGAACAGTTTTGCCAGGAAAAAAGTTTTTATTTGAAAATCCGCCAAAATTTAAGATCATTTAAAAACGAACACTTTCGCAGTGAAAGTTCGAATCTAAACTTGTTAATGGGATAGGGTTCATAATAGCCTCGTGTTTTATAAGAAACAAATTAAATTTTCTGCATAATATATTTACTAACTGTTAGAACCACAAGTTGACCTTAGTTTGGCGTGTATGTAAGTATCTGAGAAAATATTTTATATTTGAGGTTTATATGTAACCAGGCATATTCATACAAGCCATATATTCATCCTAGGGGTTCAGGTCGATTCGCGCACCACTTTTTCTGCAATAATTTTAGCTTGTAAATGTTGCCATTTTATTACGTAAAATAACAAATTTTGATTTTAATTTGTGGATATCCAAGATTTAAAAATCCATTTTTTGGGCAAAACTTTTTTTCGGAAAATGTTTCCTGGGGTCTTATGAGGTCTCAATCGGTTCGTTTGTAAATTTTAGAAAATCTAAGAACAGACAGACACATCTATTAATCTTTGGGAAACTCTTGAGACCGACGGGAATATTCCTAGATTGGTTTTGAGATTCTAAGTTAATAGTGTATAATTAAATAGGGAAAATTTTGTTTCCCGGTAAAATCGTTCGATTGCGGGTAAACGGTGGGAGTAAGTATTTGTAACCTGGGCAACGCTGGGTTCCGAAGCTAAAGTGTAAAATACATTTTTAAATATTTATTTCTTGTTAATATTGTGAGAACTCTATAATTTCTCCCAAATCTTCCATATTCCTAATACTACGGTTCTTATTAGCTTCATTTTTAATTCTTGACTAACATATGGTTTCAAAATAATGTAGATAAAGAGTTAATTGTCTTGTAATATAAATTTAGGGCTATTCGCGCTACTTTTCCAGACATGTACAGACGCATATATTATTGGCAGACCACCTTAACTAAGATATCGTCGTGTTTCAAGGAGTATGGAATAGAAGGGAGATACAACTGACGCGGCCCGCCCTACCATATGATTATGCATGCTTTGCAGACGGGTACTTCATTTGAATAAGAAATATTCAGAATAGGTTATTGTATACGCGGTAATTGTACATCAGACAAATATTTCTTATTCAAACGGAGCATATATAATCATATGGTAGGGCGGGCCGCGTCAGTTGTATCTCCCGTCTATTTAATACTCCTTGGCGTATTCTGCAGTAATTTGCAGTACACTGACGCTTAGTGGAGAGTGAGACATACATACCGAACAGAAAGACAGACCCACAGACATATAGACGGACTTTAAAATAGACGTATAATAAAATGTACTCTTTGACCTCTGTCAGGTTCCCAAACCAAGTAGTCGGCCCTCTCTCCTCCTCCTCCTCTCTTGGTATTAAAACTAAACATTTTAAAAGAAACTTAAATGATTTGTTTTAAATTCTAGACGATAATTCTTATAACTTTGCAACAAGATGTTTCAGACCTTTGTTATTATGAACTCTAATTATTCCAGCTCAAATTCTAGCTACGTTAGTGGAGATATCTTGATTTAAACAGATAAAATTTTTTGAAGAAATTAACTTGCCGAATTTTGTAACTAATAACAGGGTGAAAGTAGCCAAAACAAAAGTTGAACAACAGATTACAAATTTATAGGGTACTATTGTGAATCCTTGATGGCAACTTCCAATACCAACTTTTAGATACGTTGAAACTCCAATAAAGTAATGTATCTTAGTGTTGTTAAATATTAAATTTATCGATTACATGAATCAATTAGAAAATTATTCCAATTGTTGTAAATGTTTTCTCATCGCTAAAAAATGTTTCTGAGGCCCAGGGCCAGGCACCCTAATGATCATATATAATATAATTATCAAACCTTTTTTTCTAGATATTTCATTGAATCATTCATCAATTCATTGAAATCTGCCAATAAGTAAAGAAAAATATTGTCTCCAAAATTTGTCCCAGAAAAAACATGAAGCTTCGAAAAAAAGCGCAAAATTTACTTTTGAATAAAGATTTCATAGAGGGTATACTGAGTATTCTCGGCTCATATGAAGAAATTTAATCTGTAAGATAGGCTTAGTTTTGATCTGAAATTCAAAAAGTAGTAAATACAGACGAATAATCCATTTAAATATATTAATAAGTAAATATTAACCTTGGAATAAATGAATCTATGAGGTCGAAAAAAGTGGAAAGAAATCTTGGCGCTCGGTCCTGTAAAAAAGTAATAAAATAAAAAATATAAAATAAGAGGCAATTTTAGAGAAAATTTAAATATGGGGTTGAGTTGGGTTGTATTAAGTGAATACCTAGTTGGATCAAACCTACACAGGCCAAATTGGACGCTTCGGCTCAAAAAAAGTAATGAAATAATAATGGAAATACTGGTCACGTGATTTCCATATATATCTGTAACACGGATCTATACGGATTATCTATATAATAAAACAAGACATTCCTATATATATATGTTGCCTATAGCCGGCCAAAAGGCTGGAACGATTGGGCTGAATTTTTTGTTGGACCCTCAGGGATGGCCAGGGAGTGTTATAGGCTATAAAAAATTTGAATTTTATTTAAAATTTTTTTTTACATTTCTTTTTTTCACGGGCAACCAGGCCCTTTAGCTAGAATGTAATAATATTATCAATCAATTATATCTAATAAAAATGCAAAATCAAAATTAAAAGTTATAATAGGAGCAAACCTGAGATTCTCAGGCTCCTGTGGGATATAATAGTTTTCAGATTGGTTGCGTATTTGTTGAATATAACCTGCAGTTTATTATTACAGCTTTTATTCCAAATTGCATATATATGGATTTCCGTATAAATTTGACTCAGTTTTATATCAATTTCCCGAGACAGGGACATCAGATATAAGTCTTATATGTCTCATTAAGCACCTGAGTTTCTCAGGTTTCATCTTATACCCCCTTTCATTTTTCCTTTACAGTCCCTTTAAATGTGTTTCGTTACCTCTGTGGGGGCTCCGTGGCATAAATGTATTCCAAAAATAACTGTCAAGAAAAATATTAACTTTCTTGTTTTTTTCAACATTTTTTAAACTGATTCTGAAAAAAAGATGAATTCAATGAAAAGAAAAAGAAAAAGAAAAAATAATATTTAAAATATTACAAAAGTCAAATCTGAAAAAAAATAAGAAAAAGGTTTTAGAAAAGCAAAATCCCAAGTGCCCCTCCAGTCCATGCTACTATGATAATACCAAAGAGAATAGAATATATATTAGGGAGGAATTTAGACTATCCCTCGGTATGAATTTTTTCAGTCCCTTTTAGTCTGAAAGGGAGTTCAAAGTGTACAAATCATGTAAATGTTCACAAATTATATGCAGTAGAGTACAATAATACAGTATGTTCCCTAGACTATCCATTTCAATTTCGAATTTTTTAAAGCTGTTAAATAAACTTTATAGTGAATTAGGTAAATAAAAACATCATTTGATTTATAGTTATAACGGAAAATCATCGTTTGTAAAGTGAAAGGCATAGAGTCTATGTGAAATGATCCTTGGTCAATTATGAAACTAGCCTATTTCATAATGTGGTTTTCTTTTAACATTAATTTTAGATTTTCTATAAAATGATATTCCAGGGCCCAAAAGGTTATATGGCATAAATATGTGAAGTACACCTGCAGTATGGAAACAGTACAACAAAATGGCCGTTTTACACTTTTTTCTAGTAAATTCCCCTCTAATATATATTCTATTCTCTTTGGATAATACCCGATTCACAACAGTACCCGGGAAACCTTCATCTGATCAAAAATGTGGAAGATATGTTCGTTTTCCTACAATAGAAATGCGCACAAGTTACTTTTGAAATAAAACCACTACTGAAAATAATCAGTTTTTAAAACTATAAACATGGATATATAATTTATACTTGATCAGACTAAGGTTGTGAACCAGGCATTGACATCTTTGCATGGAGGCTCACCTAAAATTAAGCTAACAATCCCTTAAAGACGGTGAACGATCATATGCTGGATAGCAAATGATCGTGCTGAGAAATACCGACGACTAAAACAGGTTGAGTTTATGACATGAATTAAAATTGAATTCTCAAATATGTTTCAGAGTACAAAGAGTAGACATCACTTTTAAAATAAGGAGGCTGCAATTTTTCACGGAAAAATCGATGCGAATTTTCCCAATTACTCCTTAAAAACTAAAGCTATAAAGTTTTAAAATGTCTATAGCGTCAAAAAAGTATGCATGAGTTAGTTAGGTGAAATCAAAGACCAAGGCGTTGCAACACTTCAAAGTCAACCCTGTCTTTAAATTGGCGCAACTTTTCTTTGCAGCCAGGATAGATGTGGTAATTTTTATTTTAATTGGGCTGAGTGCAGGCATATCAAATATAGCTTATATAGGCCATCACTGAATTTTCACGTTTTAGGACTCGACATAAATAAGAAAAATCCAAACTATTAATAATCAGCAAGGATGGATTAAGTTTTCTTTTACAGATTGTTCATAATTGTAACACAGAAGTAATACAGATCTAGCAAATGTTTCACTGGTGAACAGGAAAAAACTAGAGTATGCAATAAAATTAAATTTTATTACAAAGAATTTGAGACAAGAATATGGAATTATGTTTTTGAAAAACTATGTTTATATATATACCCACAAAGGATGAGACTGTAAACTCTTGAATACGACAGTCCCAGGGTTAATTTATGTATTCTGCGTTGGATATAGTAACCTAATGGCGTATTCAATGATTTGGAAAAGAAAAATCTCAAGGAATAAAAATTGTCTTAAAACATTTTTTTAAAGTGAATATTTGCAAATTATCTTTTTCCATCGCATAATCTGAGTTCGTTTTCCTTATGTCCATTTGACAGCCCAATTTTTTTTTTTTAATAATCTTTTTTGTTTGTTTATTTTCTTGTGGTTTTTAACAATTTTTTATTTAAGTTTATCGATTTTTAATGGTTATTAAATCGTTAGAACTGACGAGGGTCAACCCAGACCGAAATATATTTACAATAAATGTGGAACTAATATCTACTTTTTTACTTTACAGAGGTTTGGTCCATCACCATCACCGAATTTTTAAATGTAAGGAAACAGTATAAATTTCGTACAGTCGTCTCTGAAGTCTCATCCTTTGTGGTTCCCCCTGTATTTGATAACCAGGGTAGGTGCACTGTACAGTATTCAAGGAACAACTAAAGTATAAACCATTAATTTCTCAGGATCATTTCAACAACCGGCTGCACTATCTATCTATCTATCTATCTATCTATCTATCTATCTATCTATCTATCTAACCCCCCCCTATTTTCCTCCAAAAATTCTCACTTTTATTAAGCCTGAAAATACTTAATTATGTCCAATGCCCAAAACATAAGTCCAATTTTATAATTCACAGCGATCCAAACAAAATAGAAATTATCAAGACCAGACTGCCTTTGAAGTGTTTTCTAGCATTTTAACCATCGGTTTGACCTTATTATATATTAATAACACAAATGAACTATTTTGATAGACATTTTTAAATATATCTTATAGATCTAAATATCTAATTTCGTACAGTATTAAAACAGTGTTTACGATTTTTATATATACTATTAGCAGCGATAATTAAAAAGCTCTTAAATAGGAAGACGACTTTTAGAATCAAATTGTAACTTTAAAAGCCCAACATCACTTTTGCAATGTAAACAGACCTATTGTACTAAATTAGAGATTATATAAGTGTAGTAAATTTGTTTGCTTTAAAACATCATCATATACACTTTAAGCGTTACTTTAATGTCGTCTTCCTATTCTTTTGGTTTCTGATTCTCACTGTAGTAATTTCTGCTTGTTGGTTTGTATGTCCGATCAAAACTCGTAAATAAAGACCCAGCGCTGGTAAATGGCGGGAGTAACTACAGGAGTACCCTGGGCACCGCAAAGGTTCATATTGTATTCAAGCTTTTGCTTACTTTTGGGGTTAAAAGGGTATTTTTTCTTCTTCAAATTATATTTCAGATATATAAATGAAAAAGACACTTACTTAAACTTATTTTACTGTTTATTGCATTTTTTCCTGTAAGAAATCTCCCCCCCCCNGCTATATGCGTCAGCACGGGGCAGATGGTACGCAAATTTTATATTTTAATTAGTAGAATTATTTATTAACGTACACTGAATACAAATTCCTTAATTTGGTATATTTTTCAACAAAGTTATGGCCAATTTCTTATTCATGTTACCATAGGTAACTAAAGTAGTATCCATCTATCTACACTGTTCTGAAAGCGTAACCATAGTTTGACTATGGTTCTACCTATGATTGAACGTTTAAGAAATTGGCCATTAAGATGCAGAGTTACTCACAAAAATGAGACTTTAGCGGAGACATAACTTAAATAGAGAAACCACAGTTGAAAATATACAATTTGTGAAAGAGCAATCATTGATATCTCCATTCATCATGGATATCTTCATTCATCATGGATATCTTCATTCATCATGGATATCTTCATTCATCATGGATACCTTCATTCATCATGGATATCTCCATTCATCATGGATATCTCCATTCATCATGGATATCTCCATTCATCATGGATATCTCCACTCATCATTCATTATGGATATCTTCATTCATCATGGATATCTCCATTCATCATGGATATCTCCATTCATCATGGATATCTTCATTCATCATGGATATCTCCATTCATCATGGATATCTCCACTCATCATTCATTATGGATATCTTCATTCATAATGGATATCGTCATTCATCATAGATATCTTCATTCATTATTCATCATGGATATCTTCATTCATCATGGATATCTTAATTCATTATTCATCATGGATATCTTCATTCATCATGGATATCTTAATTCATCATGGATATCTTAATTCATCATGGATATCTCCATTCATCATGGATATCTTCATTCATTATTCATGATGGATATCTTCATTCATCATGGATATCTTCATTCATAATGGATATTTCCATTTATACCGGTTATCTTCATTAATCATGGATATCTCCATTCATCATGGATATTTCCATTTATACCGGTTATCTTCATTCATCATGGATATCTCCATTCATCATGGATATCTTCATTCATCATGGATATATATAAACATAAGAAATAATATAAATCAAATTCACATTAAGTACCTCATAACTAATAATAAAAATTTATAGTTTTTCTTTCGATTACATACATTGTTATTAATACTTAATAGCACAAGTCAATATAATAACTATAGTAACTTGTAAGTAACAAAAAATACCATCATGTCCTCGTCATGTTTAATGAAATGTTGGTTATAGATTTTACTATCGACTTTACTCTGGATATGGGCCGGGATCACAAAAATCCAGTGTTTCAATTTGTGCCCATTTCTAACACTCAGTGTTAAAAATGGGGCAAGTGTTAGTTTTGGAACTAATGTCCCCTGAAGTAGGGTGTCTTTCTTTAAATAAAAAGTAGATTTTTTTACATAAAATATTACATCAAGAACATTCAGGGGCTATAAAACCTAACTTTGACCAGAAACATGTTTTGAATTATCGGAAAAATTAGAATTAAATTAAAATGAAAACTTGCATTTTTTCATTCTAAGGAAAACTTTTAAATGAAACAAATGATAATCTGTTAACATGGGTTGGTAACTTTTAATTAAACAAATGATAATCTGTTAACATAGGTTGGTAACTTTTAAATAATACAAATGATAAACTGTTAACATGGGTTGGTGACTTTTAAATAAAACAAATGATAATCTGTTAACATGGGTTGGTAACTTTTAATTAAACAAATGATAATCTGTTAACATGGGTTGGAAACTTTTAAATAAAACAAATGATGAACTGTTAACATGGGTTGGAAACTCATTCAACTGTTAATGATCTAAACTAATTCTGTTCCTTCAACCTTACAAATGCATTATTACAAAGTGTAGAATTTTTATCACAAACATTATCACATTTTCATACAGAGGTATTGAATTTCAAAAAAAACTGCTTTTGTAAGAAAAAAATATAAAAATTTTTTTTAAGGAGAATTTTATTGTTTTCGCTTAAAGCTAAAATTATTTAATATTTATTAATGCATTATTACAAAGTGTAGATATTTTATCACAAATATTATCACATTTCAAAATAGCTGCTTATGTTAAAAAAAACAATATTAAAAAAACTTTTAAGGAGAATATTAATGTTTTTCGTATGAAGCTAAAATTATGTGATATTCTATAAAGACAAGCATAAAAATATATTAATAAATTTAGGAAAAAAGGTTACAAACATATATTAAATACATCACAATAGAATAACATTCAAACCCAAAACCAAATAAACTTATACATATACAAAGTGCAAAACTTAAATGCATTGTTTTCAAGGTGATTATCTTTTTATGAAAAAGTAAAAAAATTCTCAAATGAGATGGAAATTTATGAATGACAAGTTTAACAGTTAAACTAGGTATGGTTGTTTAAACTACTTCTGATAAGTACAGGGGTTCTCTCAAAGAATAAGCCTTTAATAACGACCTTTAACTGAATAAATTAAAGAAAGGTTGTAATCTATCTTAAAATGGTAATTTAACAACGAAAACCCCAGTTTAAAGTTGCATTTAACCATTAATGTAAAATTTCGGAAGTTGGACTTTTTGAAGGTAAAACAGTAGCTTAGCAACAGCAACAGCTGAAACAAAACCTCTTGACCTACACACCACTGTAAACTTGAACCAGTACTTAAACTTGATTAGTAGTCAAGGGCTCTAATCGCTTTATGGATTGAGCATCAAAAAGGGATAAAAAATGGATCAAAATGGGATCAAAAAGGGATAAAAAAGGGATAAAAAGGGATCAAACAGGGATCAAACAGGGATCAAAAAGGGATCAAACAGGGATCAAAAAGGGATCAAAAAGGGATAAAAAGGGATAAAAAAGGGATCAAACAGGGATCAAACAGGGATTAAACAGGGATCACAGGGATCAAAAAGGGATCAAAAAGGGATCAAATAGGGATCAAACAGGGATCACAGGGATCAAAAATAGATCAAATAGGGATCAGAAAGGGATCAAACAAGGATCAAACAGGGATCACAGGGAAAAAATGGATCAAAATGGGATCAAATAGGGATCAAACAGGGATCAAACAGGGTTCAAACAGGGATCAAAAAGGGATCAAACAGGGATCAAACAGGAATCAAACAGGAATCAAACAGTGATCAAAAAAGGATCAAACAGGGATCACAGGGATCAAAAATGGATCAAAAAGGGATCAGAAAGGGATCAAATCAAATCAAGAAGTGAAGGATTGTCCTGGCCTAGCTGAGGTATGCTATCACGATTCCTTTCAAACCAAGGCATTTCAGCCTGACGTCGGCCATACGTCGTCGTCAGCTTTACGTCACTTTAAAATCTTGTTTTGATCTCTATTTATCTTGTTTATTGAAGATGGTTCCATTAGAACAGGATTCAATGGACGCATGATTTCCTCCAGTAGACAAGAAAAATCCTTAAAATGATCTTATTATAATATTAGTGCCATTTAAAGGGACTGTAAGCGTAATTTTAAGTGATCCTCCATGCAAAAATGGAAATGCCTGAGTTACAGCGGTAGAAAACAGTCCCTCCATCGATACGGAGAAAGGTTAAGGTAGAGCCCGTTTTATCGCACTACCTCTATAGAAAGTAGGGGGGCGTGAGTGGTGGCCAGGGAGTAAGGAATAGAAGGGAGATACAACTGACGCGGTTCGCCCTACCATATGATTATGCATGCTTTGCAGACGGGTACTCCATTTGTAATAAGAAATATTCAGAATAGGTTATTGTATACGTGTTAATTGTACATCAGACTAATATTTCTTATTCAAAAGAAGTACCGTCTGCAAAGCATGTATAATCAGATGGTAGGGCGAACCGCGTCAGTTGTATCCTTACTCCCTGGTGGTGGCTGACCGCTAGGATCAAAGTGTAGACCACCAGGAACAGGACAGTTTCAATGGCCATCTGTCACGAACCCACTGCACACTGCACACCAGATTGCCGTTTTTCGAGGTTTAGAAGTGCATACAAATTACATTTCTTTTTTGTTTCCTTGCAGTAGAAAAGCGTAAGTCACTTTTGTAGACCAACAGCAAAAGAAAATAATTAGTTTTTAAAATCATAATTTAAACAGAAAGAGAAAGCTTATAAATTGTAGCGCTGTGAATGGTGCAATGTCATCTTTACTTGGAGGGTAATTGCTTACAATCCCTATAAGTTATTATTATCATTAACAGTATTATTATGATTATCATTAACAGTATCATTATTATTATCATTAACAGTATCATTATTATTATCATTAACACTATCATTATTATTATCATTATTGTTAAAACCTAGAAAAGTTTTAAATAGTCATTAGGTTGTTATTTCAATATTATTGTTATTTTTATTGTTACCATTTTCATTGTATTGTTATCGTCATCGGTATTGTTGTCGTTGTCAATATCGTTAGTACAGCGATAATCAAAAAGTAATGGAATAGGAAGACGACATTGCAGACACTTATTAAATCACTAATTTAGTGATATGGGCCTGTTTACACTGCACAATTGCTGAATCTTATGCTCATTGAACATTCTAGAATTATATCTTGATTCTAAAAGTCGTCTTCCTATTTCAGAGTTTTCTGGTTATCATCTTATAATTTTCTTTCAATAACCGTCATCATCAATATCACCATCAGTTTTATTTAATTATTATTACCTTCACTATTGTTCTTTATATTGTTATTCTTATCTTATTATTGACTAGCTGATTGGCCCGGCGTTGCCCGTGGAAAAAAAAATTTAAAATAAATAAAGATTTGAAAAAAAAATTTTAATTATNTGGAAATTTTTTTTTTAAATTGTGTTTAAGTGTCCACAAAAAATTTCAGCCCAATCGGTTCAGCCGTTTGGCCGGCTATAGGCAACATATATATATACGAATGTCTGGTTTTTTCTATATAGATCATTGTTATCTTACTGGTTTTACCTGAGAAAAATGAAAATAATCATTCCTATGTAAATAAAAATAGGAAGTAGAAGCTTTAAAATTGGCAGGGAAACCAGAAGTAACAAACAGGAAACAGGAAGTAACAAACAGGAAACCGGAAATACCAAACAGGAAACCGGAAACACCAAACAGGAAAACGGAAGTACCAAACAGGAAACCGGAAATACCAAACAGGAAACACGAAAATACAAAACATATAAACCGAAGTACAAAATATGAAAAGAAACAAAAAACATGAAAAAACCGGAAGTGTTGAAAGATGAAAGATTACCTTCTCCACAAGTTCCTGCCACTGCTTTCTCACAAGCAAACTTATCCAGACCATTCTCTACCTTGCTAAACCTTTAAAATAAAATAATCATTTTTCAAAGAGAAAAGATGGATATCTCGTGCTTTCTTGATCAGAATAAGCTTTTAGGGTAACGGAATGGGACACCCCACTCTATACATGGAGAGTTACTTAAAAGTACGTCTCCTGTTCCTTTATTGTTCACTTTATTGTTCCTTTATTGTCCACTTTATTGTTCCTTTATTGTTCCTTTATTGTTCCTTTATTGTTCCTTTATTGTTCACTTTATTGTTCCTTTATTGTTCCTTTATTGTTCACTTTATTGTTCCTTTATTGTTCACTGCCCACATTAGAAAACAGAAAATTGTAAAAAATGGTAAATGCAGTTAATATATATTATGAAAAATGACATACTTGAGTTCCTTTAGTTCCTGTAAAATTTGTGATATGGGTTCCCAAGGGCTGTAAATTTTATTGAGAGATCATCTATTCCCCCCCTCCCCCTCTTTGAAAATCAATTTTCCCCAGATGTTAGGGGGCAACAAAAAAGGATGAAAAGCCTGTAGATGTCCAATTTTCATAATTCCCCCGGAATATCAAAACTATTGAAAATATATATCCCCAGCCACTGAGATATCTCTTACTCTTTATTTTTTAGCATCTTTATTAGAAGTATATACCCTGGAGAATATACCTAGTATCTGAAGAAAAAGGGTTTTACGAGGAGGGGGAGGGGGGGGGGGAAATATTTTTCAAGAAAATATGAAAATGAAATACTAACTTGGCTGTGTTTAGATTAATCTGTTTACCGTCCATCCAAACCTTCTGATTAGAGAACTCAGCTCTAGAACAAAAACAAACTTATCACAAATTTATTCACCAGTAAAAACTGTGGAATATTTAATAATTCCGATGTACTGTACTTAACCTACTTATTTCCTGTACATTGTAATGAACTATGCTTTATTTACTGTATAACCTACTAATGTACTGTATGTACTGTATAACTTACTAATGTACTGTATGTGCTGTATGACCTACTAATGTACTGTATGTACTGTATAACCTACTAATGTACTGCATGTACTGTATAACCTACTATTGTACTGTATAACCTACTAATATACTGTATCTATTACGTATAACCTACTAATGTACTGTATGTACTGTATAACCTACTAATGTACTGTATGTACTGTAACACCTACTTCCTGCAGCTGTTGTGCCCGACTGCAGCGCCACACCTTTTCCAGTCTTCTACGAAACTGTAGAAACCACCTACAATCAAACAATGAATGAATGAATGAATGATGACTAGGTGAATGAATGATGAATGAATGATGAATGAAAGGATGAATGAATGATGAATGAATGATGAATGAATGAATAAATCCATGAACGAATCAATCAATCAATCAATCAATCAACCAATTAATCAATCAATTATTCAACCAACCAAACAACCAACCAATCAACCAATCAATCAATTAATCAATCAATTATTCAACCAACCAAACAACCAAACAACCAACCAACCAACCAACCAACCAAACAACCAACCAACCAATTAATCAACTATCCAAAGTTTTTCCAAAAGTACAATTTATACTTTCCTTTCTACTTTCTACTGGACAAAACCCCGTGACACCAAAACAATGTAATCTTTTTATGATAATGCAGTATTACCTTTGCTTAGTGGCCTGGATCCCTTTCTTCTGTAAGTAGCGAGAAAATATTCTTTTCCTTCATAAATATAATAACAGCTGCACTCCCAATATTCATCCTAGAGATATATTCTGATACATCGTATATATAATAACAGCTGCACTCCCAATATTCTTTCTAGAGATATATTCTGATACATCATAAATATAATAACAGCTGCACTCCCAATATTCATCCTAGAGATATATTCTGATACATCATAAATATAATAACAGCTGCACTCCCAATATTAATCCTAGAGATATATTCTGATACATCGTATATATATAAAACAGCTGCACTCCCAATAGTTATCCTAGAGATATATTCTCATACATCATATATATAATAACAGCTGCACTCCCAATATTCATCCTAGAGATATATTCTGATACATCGTATATATAATAACAGCTGCACTCCCAATATTCATCCTAGAGATATATTCTGATACATCATATATATAATAACAGCTGCACTCCCAATATTCATCCTAGAGATATATTCTGATACATCGTATATATAATAACTAGGGTTTCCACCGGAATTCCGGGTTACGGTTTACGTACGGAAATGATCCGGAAATTTTTTCCATTTCCATTATGGAAAAGGTTCTGGAAAACCGGAATTCTGGAACGATTTCGCGAACGATTTTTTTTCCGTAAAACGGATCGTTACGGAATATCGTTCCTGAAATTTTCCGGAAAATCGTTCGGGAAATTTCCGGTTTCCGGAACAATTGGATGGATGGATGCCGGACGGTAGAAAAAGTTATACTCAATAATCAATCTATATATAAATTTGGCTTGTCTGTCTGTTTGTTTGTTTGTTTGTTTGGATGTCTGTCTGTTTGTATCCAATAAACGTCAAAACGGCAGAACCGATCGGGCCCAAATTTTTTGTGGGGCATCATAGGGACCCCAGGGAAGGTTTATGAATGATCAAAATTTCAAATACTTGTCTCCATCAAAATTCGATCTCCATTAAATTTTTTAAAATATATTCTGATACATCATATATATAATAACAGCTGCACTCCCAAAATTCTTTCTAGAGATATATTCTGATCAAGATCTATAGAAGATCAAGATATTAAGTCCTGTAGAAGATCAAGATATAAATTCCTGTAGAAGATCAAAATATGAAGTCCTGTAGAAGATCAAGATATAAAGTCCTGTAGAAGATCAAGATATAAAGTCCTGTAGAAGATCAAGATCAGAATTATATATTATACGGTATATACACCCCTGAATTATATATTATACAGTATATGCACCACTGAATTATATAGTATACAGTATATACACCCCTGAATTATATAATATACAGTATATACACCACTGAATTATATATTATACAGTATATGCACCACTGAATTATGTAGTATACAGTATATACACCCCTGAATTATATATTATACAGTATATACACCACTGAATTATATAGTATACAGTATATACACCCCTGAATTATATAGTATACAGTATATACACCACTGAATTATATATTATACAGTATATGCACCACTGAATTATGTAGTATACAGTATATACACCCCTGAATTACCTTCTGTTCAGCTTGAACCCTGAACAGGACGGGGTTCTCCTCCACCCAGTTGAACTCCTTCATACACTTTAACCCCTCCCCCTCCCCTCCGAACCCGGACACCAGGGCCCCCTCCCCGGCCCTTACCAGCTCGACCAGGTTCTCACCCTCGTTCCACATTGAGAATATTGCAACCCTGGATAAGAAGATTATATGAAGTAATAACCAGAAAACTCTTGAATAAGAGGTTGAATTTTAACTCAAGTTATGACCTTAGTCCAATAAACATGAGGCCAGAATTTGTTTAGTGTATGTACTATGTATTCTCATTCATCTTTATAACTGACAAGTGATTTAATAACTTATAACTTAAGCAATTAGCTTTGTAACAACATCAAATCCAACTTCAGAATTACTTTAATGTCGTCTTTATATTCTACAGTTCTCTAGTTATCACTGTAGATAAACAGTGAAACCCATACACTGTGGACTGGGAAGACGACATTAAAACAATCTGGTTTGTATATGATGTCGTTATAAATGAGAAAATAGTTTTACCAATACTCTGAATATCAATTTTTTAATTGATAAATTTAATGTTTAAACAGATCAACGTAANGGGTACATTAGGGTGCCCCGGAAAAAAGTTCCCAGATGTACGACACATTTTTTAGAAACCATTAGGATAAAACTGGCTCAAATACGAAATTTTAATATTCGTAAATAATTTTTCAAAATGAGCCATTTTACTATTTTTCTCGCTATGTTTGGCCTATTTTAACCATTCTTGGCTAAATTGGGTCAATTATAAATTTTTAGGAATTAGGGATTTTGAAATAAAAATTGCCAAAGTAAACAAAATTTTGCCAAGAATGCTGGTTAGAAAAGACCAAAAATGGCGGGGAAAAAATAAAACGGCCCATTTTGGAAAAATATTCTAAAATGGTAATTTTTTCCAGGGGCATCCTAGGGTACACAGTCTAGATGACTGTCTGTTGTACACCAGAATAGTACAGGGGGCGGGGTACATAATGTTCATGAATAATAAATATATACCTAGATATTCTGTCTGTTGTAAACCAGAGTAGTACAGAGGGCGGGGTACATAATGTACATAAATAATAAATATGAAACTAGACTTCTCTGTATAGTGTATACCAAACAAGTACAGGGGGCGGGGTACATTATGTACATAAATGATAAATATCAATCTAGGTGTCTCTATCTGGTGTATGCCAAATTAGTACAGGGGCGGGGTACGTAATGTTCATGAATAATAAATATCAACCTAGATGTCTCTGTCTGTTGAATACCAGAGTAGTACAAGGGGCGGGGTACATAATGTTCATGAATAGTAAATATTTACCTAGATATCTCTGTCTGTTGAATACCAGAGTAGACAGGGGGCGGACTGGGTACGTAATGTTCATGAATAGTAAATATTTACCTAGATGTCTCTGTCTGTTGAATACCAGAGTATCCTGCAGGTCCCCAACCAATCACACAAAAGTATGTACAAGGAACAGAATTATTAACCTGAATAAGAAACATTTCACTTCTAAATTAATATGAACACTCTAGACCTACGACATCGTGGTTGCTGTTAACTAAGATAATATATACATTAATTATCCCCCCCCCCACCTTTAAATTAAAATAAGAATAAGAATAAGAATAAAAATAAGAATAATTCCGTAGAAAATCAAACCAAGCTCCTCAAAATCAAAATGTTTCTGACCTGGGCTGGTAGCGGGTAGGTCAGGTGACATGAAGTAGCAGGTTTAGCGCTACACGTGGCATCTACATTTTAATCCATCAAGAAAAATAGACCGTATAATTACTTTTTTTTAAATTTGAACATTTTTCTGTCAATTATACAAAAATTTATAAATTATTACAAATATTTTAGATCCGTGGAAAAGGAAGATTTGAAAGATTTAAAATATTTTAAAGTTGTTTCGACAAACCATCTTGGTTATAGAGACTAAGAGACTGTATAGAGACTAAGAGACTGTATAGAGACTAAGAGACTGTATAGAGACTAAGAGACTGTATAGAGACTAAGAGACTGTAAGCGTAATTTCAAGTGTCCCCCCTCCATACAAAGATTCACAACGGTACCCTTAAAAGCTTTGTCTGAGCAAGTGACTTGCGCATTTCTTGTTTATAAGATTCAAGGGAGAAACTCACACTCACATTGACACTTCTCGGGTCAGAAAAACACGATATAATCTTCCACATTTTTTATCAGATTATAAGGTTTCAAGGGTACCGTTGTAAATCGGGCATTGTCTTCTTTCCATGGAGGGTCACTTGAAAATACTCTAACAGTCCCCGTAACATCTTTTTTTTTGCAATTTAGAAAGAATAAACTTTTTGCTAAGACTAGAATAATAACCTAACCTAACCTAACAATACTAGAATAGGACATATCAGATTGTTGTAGAAACTTTGAAAGACTTTTATAGAGACTGTAGACCTAGTTTTAAGTGATTCTCAATTTAAAGATTGTCATGTCTGATTCATAATTGTACCCTTAAACCCTCCTAATGAACAAGAAGGAGGAAGATATCGTCAGTTTTCTACAGGGTGTCCCACATCATACAGGGTGTCCCAAAAAAAACATGGGAATTCAGTGACGAATTGGATATCGTCTTTGTTATGAATTAGCATTGTAATACCTAATTTCAAAAGCCATAATAGTATTATGTCTGCTATAGTTTATTTAATGAAAAGGGAAAAAGACTGCAATTATGTGTATTTAATGTCTCCGCAAGATGAACAGTGAAGACAGACAAGTTCACTCTGTTTGTATACTGCAATTTTCTTGTTTTATTAAGTACAACCGTATGCAGTCAAAACATAAACAAACAAAATGTAAACATAGCAGACGTGTTTACTCTTACAGATTACAGCTTTCTCAGTAGGTATCACTACAATGAATCAAAGAATTATTTGAAAAGACGATATCAAATTCGTCACTGAATTCCCATGTTTATTGGGACACCCTGTATTAGATCGTTAATCAGTCAAAATTACGATTTTCGGGACTAATCAGATAATTTAAGAAGAATGAATCATTTTCAAACTTGAATAAAGCTAATATAAGAATTTTCTTGCGGACAATGATAGGTTTTTCGAGTATTAAGGGTTTAATTTGGCCTTAAAACTTGGAGATAATCTTATATGATATGGGACGCTCTGTAACTTAAAACATGCTAAATTCTGTCTAATTCCTTTAACATTTTAGAAGCATAAAACCCGCAAGTCACCTTTTTTAAAGAACCCACAAATTAAATTTATCAATTTTCATAGAGAAAAAGAAGAAACAGGGTTTCCCAATAAACAAGTGAATTAGGTTACAATTTCGAGATAGTCTTTTTTACTAATTTTTGATTAGTGATACCTCCTAAGCCACCTGTAATCTGTAGACTTTTCGTCTGCTAGACATTAGAATTTGTTTTTTTATGTTTTAATTGCTGTTAATTTGTTTCGTTCTTTGTAAAATCAAAAATTAAGCCATTTTATGACTATATTCTAATAAGAAAACTTATTTTAACCTAAGGAAGTAATAAAAAGTTTCAGGTCGTCTTTACAGTTGCATATTTTGTGGGTAATCCTGTGTTATGACTACGCTAATTATTAACGAAAGACGAACTCGAATTCGTTACTGAATTATCATGTTTCGTGGGACACCACATATCTCCGTCTCCGTCTGTATAAATACAAAGAGCGAATGCCCCATTTACAACAGTACCCTAAAAACCTTTGTATGTTTGTCGAATACAAAGATATTTGTGTTTAATCTTATCGAGACCCTCTTGTATTCCGCTGAACATTCAACTGTGCGCTGTTTCGAGTTCAGACTGTACGTAAGTCACCACAACGTACACTTGAATTTGCAGCTGAACAAAAAATGGGTTTGGAGAAGTTTACAAATACAAATCTCTGCACTCGACGAACACAAATATTTTAGGGGAGGGTACCGTTGTAAATCGGGCATTAAGGTCACTTGAAATTACCCTTACAGTATCTTAAACCTGTTTCATCATGATCCTGTAACAACTGGTTTACATATCCCTCAATACGGGATTTAGCAGCTGCCAACATTCTATCTGAAAAGAGTAGGATGATAACACTCTCACGGTTGTTTTTATTCTTAAATAAAACCTGCCTGAAACTTTTTAGTTATTTATCTTTGTATTCCTAACTGAATATTTCAAGCTCAATGTTATAATCCAGACGAAAAAAAGATTTTAAGAAAAAATGGAGATTACGACTTCTCCAGTGTGACCGATGAATCAGTATATAAATCAACTAGCCATACCCAGTTCAGCTACTTCTCGAATAAAGGAACTAACCCTCATAAAAACTTAAAAGTAGGTTTAAATTTTAAGGGGACTGTAAGCGTAATTTCAAGTAACCTTCCATGCAATGATGGCAATGCCCGATTTACAACGGTACCTTTGAAACCTTGAACTGATTAAAAATGTGGATTGTGGAATCTGACACGAATTTTTTTTTGCTACTATAAACAAGAAATGCGCAACTTTCGCAAAAATATCGCAAATAAAAAATAAATAAAAAAATAAACAGTTTAAAGAAACAAAAAACATAATCTAATTCTAATTCTACTTTATCAGACAAGCTTTCAAGGGTACCGTTGTAAATCGGGCAATGCCATCTTTGCATGAAGGGTCACTTGAAATTACGCTTACAGTCCCTTTAATAATTAAGGTATAACATCTGAATAAATCAAATAAGGAAAAAAGATTGAAAACTTAATTATCTTTTATTTCAGAAATGGCAACAATTTTAGAATTTGAAATCTCGAGTTGGTCTAGTTTATGAGATAGGAACAGTTTTAGCTCTCTGCTCACTAATCCATCTTTCCAACATCTCGCCAGGGTTAAATTTCTCCTAAACAATAACAATAACAATAAATGAATTTAATTAAA